TTTCTTTTCTCTCACTTCTTTTCTTTTCTTTCTTTCTCTTTTTACTTTCGTGCCTTTTTTCCTTCTTAACATTTATACAAATACTTGCAACTTTTACTAGCTTCCCTCAGCCTCAGCCATTAGCCTAATTTCCAATTTTCAATACCGCATGATCATAATAACAAATTTATAAGCAACAAGCTTCATGAGTAGCCAAAGTAATTTTCTCATTTATAATTTGCAGTTGGTGGTCTTGTATTTTTCGAATGTCCTAATGAAACTACAGCATCAAAAAATGACTTAAATTATTATCTAATAAAACTTTAGAGATATAACATAGAACAACATTAGCAGAATATAAATGGTTTTGATGAACAACTTTCAATTTTAACACGAGAACGCCAAATCACGAGCTAGCCTATGACAATTTTGAAGCCTTCCAAGTCTTTTATAGTTCATTTATATTTGAGCAATTCAATTAACAATCTTTAAATGAATTGTCTGAAGTTTTTGTCTTGTCTGGACAAATATAAAATAATTTAATTATCCCAAAAATCAGGAACTGACGTCCTACAGAGAGCTATTTAACTTTAATTCTTATAATTCACACCTCAATGGAGTGACTGAAGGCACTGGAATGTCAATATTCAAACTTTCTTTTACTTAAAAATATTAATTTTTACGTAGCACAAATGTAAGATGGCTAGGGTTCTGAGATTAATGGTAATGTTACCAGTTTAGAGGAGGTAGGGGAAAGTTTTTCTTGGAGGAAAAGAGCGAATTTTTTTGAGATTATGACTAGGAACCCGCCAAAGAATGCATGCATAGCTAGCGGAACTCATTGGCGTCAGAAAGTCGACAGTGTTTCGTAATTTCAAGTCGTTTTCAACTCTAATTTTCCTTAATAACTTCAAAAGAGGAAATTCACTACAATAATTAATAGTTCTGAGGCTCAGCTCAACGGAAAAAGTAAAATAAATTGGTTCTTAAAACAGAAGGTAGCGAAGGACATGAGGTGATTCAGTTTGTCATAATCACCGACTCCAAGCTGAGTTCGAGAATATCCCGACATAACTAATTAAAACATTAGATTAATGGCTAAACTCTGATAGGAATATTGCAGCAATAAACGAATTAGTTTGGGGCTAATTTCAAAGGAAACTAAGTCTTTTCTATAGCTTTAAGATTGTTTAAATGAATCAAGAAATGTTACGAAGATGTTGCAAATTACATCCATCTCTCATCATCTTTGATCCAGAAAGTCTAGAACTAAGTTTTCTCCTCTTCTCTTAGCTTAAGCGAATTTCGCTTACTAAAGTAATTACTAAACTCAAAACAAAGAGGAAATAATAGAACTTTGGTTTAGTACGAATAGTACGTGCTATTTTGTAAAATTTTCACTCTAAATATAAAGTTGATGGGGGCCTGTTTTTACAAAAGTAAAAGAACACTAATTTGTACAAGAGTCAATTCAAGTTCAAACATTCTAATAGCATTATTGAATTAGTTTTTAACTGAAGAGCAAGGAATCGACAAGAAAATATCTCTCTTAGAAGAGAAAGAAAAAATAAAAACTCAAGCAAGAACTGAAAGTCTGTACAGTTTGACATCTTCTGATTAACTTTTGTCTCGCTGTTTTCAACCGAGTGAGGAAAGCATTTTCTTTCTTCAATCTAAAGTCACTTGCCTCAAGGCCTCGAAATGCAATATTGAAATTATCTCCTGGAGAGCAATTCTCTCAACAACGCACACAGGGGACATTAGAAAAAGATTCCTCGTTAACATACCTGAATACGAGACTCGAGCAAGTCAAGCTTCAAGGCCAAAGCTTCTCTAGCAAACACGTCTGGATACTGAGTAGTTTGGAACACATTTTCAAGTTCATCAACTTGCCATGTGTCGAAGTTGGTTCGACTTCGTCTTTTCTTTGGAAGTAGAGGTATTTCTGGAAGAGGTAATCGCACCCAGAACAAGAAAGAAGAAAGTAGCCATCAGTAATGGAGATTTGAGTCACACTTAGCGAGTGTATAAAGACAACTTACACAACTACAAAAGTCATTAAATCTGAGTACGAACAAATGTTCTTACCTATAGCTTCAATGTACTCAACTTCAGAGTCACTACCTGAGAGATCCAGTGTATTTGTAGAAGAAAAGGACGACACAAGAATTTTCCCCTCACTCGGGTCGAAGTTATCTCTCAAAAACTTCGAATATGCTGCAAAACCGGCATGCGCAGTAGAGCAGTAACCTTCTGGAAAATTGAGGTGAAGTTTATCGCTCAAGTTATTCATTCCTTCAGACAGAGAACTTGTCTAGAGTTAGTCTAAAATGGGTTTGTTAAAGATCTAGGTAGGCTGGTAGTAACGAATATGAGAGGATCTGACAAGGGTGTATTACAAGTGCTGTACGCGCCTTGTTAGTAAGTCGACAAGCTACCGGCCTGACATTACACCAAGCCAATTACCCTCTCTCTAACAAGCTGTCAATCGCAACTGTCTAATTATCTAATTACGGAAAGTAAATTATAGCGATAAGGGCTTTGTCTGCACACCGCTCCAAGGAGATTCATGTTGCCGTTCTACCCTGGTCCAATAAGATTCCAAAGGATCATTGATGCTATTCTATGATTGGTTGATTTTTATGTTTACGATATTCATGTCTTATCGCTCGCGTCAAGTCTCATTGTAGCATCGTATTTCTTTTCTGATATTCAATACACTCAACTCTACAACTTTGGTAACAATTTATCTTCAAACTATTCTGAAGTTCATTTAATGGAAGTAAGTTTTCTTGGATATGTGCAAAATAAAATAAAATCGATGAAATGAAATGGAATGAAAGTTCGTATTCTGAATTTCCCGTAATGTCACGCGGGACACGCGAAACCATAAATCAAACTGAAAAACCCGCTAACAAGGCATTGATAGTAACCCAGACAGGCTCATAACTTATCCATTAAGCTTTAAACCATTACATATGTAAAACCATTAAAAAGATCGCTCTTCTGTTTTAGCAATTGGCTTCAAATCAGAATTTTATTGCACCGATTTTTGGGTTTTTATCTCTGGTCTTTATCAAGGATTTGTCAGACCACACCGATTTTCAGGAGCCATAAAGTCTATCCTGTTAATGTGATTGCCTGAGAAATTTCTCACTTTTTTGTTGGTGAAGAATTACAATCTAATTCGAAATAAGTTGTTAGTAACACCTTGCGTTGCGGGTGATTCTGAAGTAAATATCACTCTGCGTAGTACATATTAATCGACAGTAATACATTTAGGGAGCGACTCAAGATGGAAGCAATCGTCTGGTGTTGATTTTAAGGTTTAATTTCGCTGTCTTGTTAGCGTCAGATTATCTCCAAACGATAACCAAATACCGCGAATTTTTATGCTCCGTCAAGAGTGTGAATTTAACTGGCTTTTTCCTTCCTGAATTTTGATTAAATTTTCGTGTCTTTCTAATTTATTTTTTCATCTCCGGTTCTCAAAGCTGTCTTGAACATATAGAATAATAAAATCGTACAAATTATTAGATAATTATTAAAGTTATTAATCTAATTTAGTACAAGTGATCAAACTGAGTGCGTGCATAATTTGCCTTTACTTTATCTACATGAAAACGCCCGTTTTGATTTTTTTAGTACGTAAAAACCTAAATTCAAAGCTTTTAACATAAAATTTAATTTTTATAAAAAATATTTCGTTTTTATGTCCAAGTTTGAACTACCCACATACTGTTTGGTTTGAGTTATGCTTACTATCGGATTATCAATTGCTTAAAGATTTGACACGTTTATATAAAAGTAGTTTACTTAGAGGAACAAAGAACTCCAAGAACGTAAAAAGCCGACCTCGTAGACTCCGCGTTTACCAGGGAGGACTTTCCATGGTTGATACGATCAGACAATGAGATAGATCATTCTTATCGCTTCTTGGAGTTTACGCTACTAATCTTCATTCAACCCAATCCCCAGCGACAGTTTAATTTACTGAAATCTTAAAATATCTCTACTACTTGAGATATGACATTCCCGGAGTGAGCCAGGAAACGATGGCTTTGCTGGGTTTTCCGGCAGGAACGCGTTTATAATAGTTGATAAATGTTCCTAAGACATGCAACATTTAGTCAAAAGATGCAGCAATGTTACTAAAAACAGAGCGGAAAAGACTACACATTTCTGGCCGAAGGCGCTCTTTTCTCTGTTCTGGAAAAAAAATACACAAGGGTTAAAAAGTCTAGTTTGATCCGATTACAAGGGATATATCACTGCCTTTTCATTGTCTCGATGACCTCAGCCCCCAACAGTGTGGCCATCGATAGATATTTTCGTCAAAAGCCACGAGAAGTGGTAGAATTTCCTGAGCGAGTGTGAGATAAGAAAACTTAGCGGTCGCCAGATGGTAGGTATGCTGCAGATAGATAAACTGTTGATGATACAATTAACAACGTCTCCGACCAAAATGCGGGTAATTGGTGACCGTGGCGAGTCGAACTCGGGGAATCTTAGCTTTGCTTGCCTAATCCAAGGAGAATGTCTTGATACCGACAACGCCTTGAACGATATTTGTGATTGCAATTATTATTGTGGTAATTATTTTATCTTGGAGTCAAGAAGAAATCCTTCTGTAGGTCCTATTGATGTTTCTTATTCAAAGAGGCGTGGTTAAGCAAAATACAATGACACATGCCGTTTTCGCACCCACCACTGACCACCACTACAACCATCATCATCATCAATAACAACAGCAACAACAACAACAACAACAACAACAACAACAACAACAAAACTATTACTCTTATTATAACCTTTCCAAAGCTACATCACCACCTTAATTCATTGACCAAAATCTGAAAATTATAAAGAAAAATACAGGAAGGAACAACTATTCTTCCACTCTTACTCCTGCTGTTGCTACTTTTATTCTTCTATTGTTATTACATCCTCATTAACCAAGGGCGGGTAAAATTCTGTCGCTCGTTCCTGGGAGCGAGAAACGAACGACAGAATTTTACCCCTAGATTTCCGAGCATGTATCAACGCAGTGCTGCTTTCACTACTGCTCTTGCTGTCGCTGCTGTTACTACTTCTAGCTATACTAGAACTCCTTCTTCTACTAATTGTTGCTTCGATCGCTATTAATGCTCCTACGACTAGCAATGACTCCTGGACCTATATATATATAAACTAAAACATCTTGAAATGTAGCGCTTGACATTCAACCTTTGCATTTCATCACAATCACATCTCATAGCATCAGGTCTGCCCTTCTACATCCCTTATTAGCAAAACTTGGAATGCTATTGTATTCAGTTACTTTCAACACAACCTTGATTGCATCATCTCGCTTGCATTCTCTCGAAGTAGGTACGCTGATCCTTCTTAGTCCGAATTTGATTAAAATCAAGAATTCTAGAGTGCCCCTTTAAGATTTAAACGAAACTTTAAACGGAAAATAATTACTTCAGTTAACAAAATGATTAGATTTTTTCCTCGAGTTTTTATCAAAGTTCTTCAACTATTATTACTACAAAGTGCGTAACAAGCGGGAGTGTTTGAAATGCTATTCAAGTTAATTAAACCGACGCGACTGTCTGCAGCTGTGTGAATATGAGCAGTTGTCTTAATTGCTTCACTTATTTTGGAGAAAAGCATGATAATGTTTGACGAAATCCGGCAATCAGGGAAACAACTATTTTTGAATACCGTGTTTTAAAACCTCTAAAAGCTATGGTACATGACATGATTAAATTTTTTCCCTCTTGGATACTTAAAACTTTAGTCTTACTTTCAGCTAAACTCTATTAGTTTTGTTCTTCGAGGTCTTCAGTCATTTGCTTTAGTACGGCCGTTTCTGAATTAGTTATAGTAATACTCATAAGTAATTACAAAGCTTTACTTAGAAGTACAATACTAAAGGGATATATAATACTCATTAATAATTACAAATATTTACATGGAAGTACAAGACTGAAGGGAAAGGGTGGATCACTCCAGTCATGTTCCCTCGGATGGGTGTGTTCGATAGGGGTCTCAAGGACATGACCCAGTAACAAAAAGAATTAAAATAAGTGAAACGATTTTTGTTTTAGTACCAACTAAAGGATCTGAAAAACGAACGGAAATCCTGGCCACCCATAGAGACTCAAACGCTATTTTAAAAATACTTTCTTTAAGAAAATTACATATTCAATACTCACGCTTGCATGAAAGAAGAAAGAGAAATTTTTTGACCCTCTTAACCTTCAGAGATCTAATAAAATAGTTTAAGCTATGTATTACAGTCTAAAGCACAATAGGTATTACTGAGGCAGGGAACAATTATGAGTATTACAAGAGCCGAGGGCGTTTGTCGGTTAGCTACTGTACAGTCTCGGATAACAACGAACTGAAATCCACAGGGGTTTGTTTCAGATTTTCCGCGTACGACTCAATATTTCAGAACTAGTACCGAAGGCTAGCTAGCCCTGCAGGGAAAATCAGTACCATTTGCAAAATCGATGATATTAGTCGGCAAAGCAGACGTTCCTGAAATGCACGCCATGCAGCTGGCTAGCAGTGATATATGGGCATAATACTTTGTTGCAATTACTACCTTTTAAAACTAGTCGCATTAGACGCCAGCAGGGTTAGGGGTTGAGAGCTGAAAAATCACATCCATGAATGTTTGACTAATAGTTTGTTTTGTGTTTCACATCTGATCTTAAGTTTTGTATTTGCTACCCCAGTTTTCTTCGCGTTGGCAAATTCAAACCTTGCAACCAATACCCCGCGTTATCTATCTTGTATTATCTTCTTTTGCCTATCTATTACATTCAAGTGCCTTCTCACATCAGAGTTCACTACTCACCACCGAAATAAAAGAGGTCAAGTTCTGGCGTGTTTTTTATCACAGTTTTTACAACCCCCGACTAATAGAAATAACATATAAGTCAATGTGTTTATTTTTGATAAACAAAGCTTATAATAACAGTAAAATGTTTGGATAAAATGTTTCGTTATCTCTGGGCCGCATGTATATAATCCAATGGCACGCAAGACAGGTCCGCGCGGGGTCTGGGGATCAGAGTCCCGTTCGGTCATTGCACATTCCATCCCTTCTCTCCCCTCGACAGGAAAGCGTAAGGCCCTGGCTAAACAAGGAAACATGTTTCCCTAAATGTTTCCTAAGGTGGCAAAACTGTCAGGGAACATCGGGAAACAATGTTTCCATGAGTCTTGGAAACATGAAATGTTTCTGCCGCACAGCAAAAACATTTTTCACAGCAAAAACAATTTTTGCGTCTTGGAAGCAAAATTTGTTGCACGCAGCAATGTTTCGCATGTGGCTAAACTGGGAAACATCGAGGAAACATGCGCGCGATAAACATGTTTCCTGGTTTAGCCAGGGCCTAACGCCCTAGAGAAAGAATGTGAAGAATATGTGACTTTATATAAGGGCGATAAGGCACATCTAACCCATGACATCTTTTCATCTTAGGTATCCTGGGTCTAAAACACACAGGCAACCCAATATTTCACAAAACTGATGAGACGCCGCTAGAAAGAAAGAGAAGAAGCAAAGGGACGAAAGGAAGAAAGGAAACCTAAAAAGTAGCCCTATTTTGGCAATTGCTGAAAGAAAATAATGACGTAGAAAAATAAACTAAATGATAATTATTTTAGGCATTGATACTATGATCACGGCGAACACACATTCAACCGTCTGACATGTTTCTCAGCACGATTCCTTAAAGTGAAAATACTAGACCTACGAAACGTTTCGAAATCACTACAGGCACTTGTGCCTGTTCGATTGAATTGGAAGATTCCTGGCTGACAGGCGCCCGACGTCCGCTCCAAAAGATTTTCAACTTCGTCACGAGAACAATTTACGTCATAATTTTCTATCACAAGATCGTTTGGCGAGCAAGCATAAAGTTCTGTAGAGGTTTTTCGGAGTTCATTTGATGAATCCTTTTCTCGGATTAGCGAGTTATTTTCAATAAGTTCAGATATGCTTTTAAAGTTATTTAAAGGTTTAGGGTAATTTCTAGCAGGCGAATGTTCATTCTCGTTTGAAGAATTTTTATAAACATACTTTCCCGCCTTTTTATTTCGTTCATTAGCGCGCGTGTTGTCATTTTGGCGGGAATTTGGCAATCCTTCGGCCATGTTTGTACGATTGAGAAGAAGATCTTTTTCTGTCCTGATTTCTGAATATTCTCGTTTTTCATTTGGACAAGTTAAACGAGAATTAATTCTTTCGGAAGTTATTTCCTTTCTTGGCTGTGAAAAACTTGAACTTGTAAAATTCGGCGGTGCAGAATCCAGGTTATGAATTCTCTGTTCAGAAGGTGGCGTCCTCGCTTGATTTCTATTTCCATTGTTCTCTGTGCTCCAAGATTTTAAAGAAGGTCCTACAACTTCATTTTCGTCTTTATCCTGATCATTGTCACCAGCTTCGTCAATACTTTTGTTTTCCAAATCAGCTGGTAGTCGTTGTTTTGGAGGATCTTTACGAGCGAGGATGCTTTCAATGCTGAAAGATTTACTTCGTGAAGATTCAGTTCTTCTGGTGTTTAAGGTAAGAGAATGATTTTTCGTTTTCTTTGTAGAGTTAGTTTYCTTTGCTTGGTTCAAGTGTGAGAAGAAAAAAGCCCTGTTAGACTTTTCTGTTTCGCTTTTTTTCCTTCGTCCAGGAGYAGACTTTATTTTGTCTTCTCTTCTCATTCTTGCTCTTCTATTTTGAAACCAAACCTGAGCATTTGAAAAGAGAAAAGTTGTTTTGGCTGAGAAATTGTTAAGAAATATTTTCCCCTTTTCTTCGGCTTAAAAATAGAGATCTTAAAATCGCTATTAAAGGAAAAATAAAATATGTTTTTCTGTTTACATTTGGTCCCGAATTTAGCGGCCGTGATCACGTGACCTGTTGATGAAGCAACGTAAAAGACAAATACAGAAAAAAATAAAAGTAATATGAAACTTTCCAACTGATCTCCCACTCGTTAGAAGAGGCTAGTGGTCGATTAGTATAGGCTTATGGAGACAACGAGTAGTTTTGTTTCCGGGATTTTAACAGGTTACTACATGTCATGCACAATGTATACTAGTGAACAATATGTTCTACAGCATGCCTTTTCTGTCACGTGAGAATAGGAAATATCACGTGACATGAAATGGAACACAGATCACGCCAAATTAAATTAATACAAGCAATCTTATTTTAGGTCAAGTTGTACTGCGTTTGAATACAGATAATCCACTCTGATTCGATTTTTCGATCAAATTTAAATCAAATTTGACTTAAAAAAAGAAAAGAAAAGAATGTAAAGAATTTTTTAAACCAATTTTAAAGAGAACTCTAATCTAACCTACAGCTCGGAGACTGGGTAAAGTATTTGGGTAGACAGCAATCGGTTACACTATGGCAATTTGCGCCCAAAAATTCAAAGATCGATCAGTCTATTCAAGTATCTTAAGGAAGAAAAAGATATTTGAAAAAACAGAATTGAAAGCTTGAGTAGATAGAAGTTTTGATCATCCAGGTACTAACCCATCCCGACCGGGCTTGACTCAGTGTCTTGCAATTGAAAGCCCAAACTTTTTTTTACTGAGCTCTACTGAGAGTATATCTACATGAGATAAACCAGTTTTAGTTCTATGAACAATTCCGCTCAACAATTTTCCAATTTTGGAAATTGAATTCCAATAGCTACGCAAGAAACAGAAATAAGTATAGAAAATAGATAAATTTTCGTTGCGTAAAAGGCAAAGGTTACCTTCCCGCACAGACTTCGAGGTCTGAGTTCAAAAATAATTCACCATATTCAATATCGCTCACTGAATCATTTTTTATCTTTAAAAGCGATAAAAAAGACGTTAGGTGTCGACAGTATTAGGGATTTTATCTCAATATATACCTAATCATACATTCTTCAAGTTGGCTTAGTACAAACGTGCACTGATATAAATTCAAGCTTAATGCAATGGAGAATGGCTACTCCATATAAGAACTGAACACTGTAAAAATTACTATTTAAAAAAAAATTAAGCAAAAAATTAAACAAAATCACCTTTCCCCCCTGCCACTTCTAAGAACCGGCTTGAATATTTATCAAATATTTTGTACACTTTCTTTCAAATATTTTACTTATCTAAAAGCATGTTTGTTTTTTTTAAGCTGGTGATTGTATAGACCAAAAAAATCAGTACAAAGATAAAACGACGCGTTATTAATCAAGATTGGCGTTGATTTCTCCTGTTACGGTATTTTTATTTTATTTTGACCATTTGACTAATCATCATTTAAATAGTATGGACTTTTCATAGTGCGACCTTTGGCTGAGACAGAAATTGTGCGACCTTTTAGGACAGGCTTTCATCTGGTTCATCATTCATTCTCTTGAAAAAATCTTAAATCGGACTTTTTCTTATGCATTAAACAACTCCAAAATCAATTGGAATGGAATGGAAGTCGTAGAGCATTGATTTTTGGATGCCAAATTCAAGACAGAATCCCATAAATGCAGCGGCAGACGTTAATTTAAACATACCTGAATTCGAGACTCGAGCAAGTCAAGCTTCAAGGCCAAAGCTTCTCTAGCAAACACGTCTGGATACTGAGTAGTTTGGAACACATTTTCAAGTTCATCAACTTGCCATGTGTCGAAGTTGGTTCGACTTCGTCTTTTCTTTGGAAGTAAAGGTATTTCTGGAAGAAGTAACCGCACCCAGAACGAACAAGAAAGAAAGAAGAAAGTAGCCATCAGTTAAAAAAATATAATCACAAATTATATATTTTCTAGTTTCAAACTGTCCTATTTAAAATCAAATAAATTTATGAACTTTAGAAGGCAAATGCATCTACAGTAATGCTGATCAGTAGCACTAATTTGTACTAAATTGATGAAACAAAGGAAAACTATTGATTGCACTATTTTGTACTATTAAGTACTATTTCATGGTTTAGAGTGATTTTACTCACCCCGTGAAACAAAGTTGTTTAATTAGTGACTAACAGTCAAAGTAAAACTAAACTAAAACAATGGAACTAGCTTCTACTAACATGTCATTATGCTTGCTTTTTTCACGGGCCGAACTGATAAAATCACGTTTCAAGCCAATACAATGTAACAAAATTTATATATTTATATTCAAGTAAAAGGTTTCTATCTGTCGCTAATTATTTGTTAATTGCCACAATTGATGAGAATAATGATAATCGTAAACAAGTTTCAATAGAAAATACTTAAATTGTTATATGATTGTAATCTACAATAAATACCCCAGTAGTTTATTGTAAATTTGATATTTCGTAAATTCGAATTCCTTTCAACACCTTCCTGGTTTGATTTATGGTTTAAAGTCGAAAGGATTTTCTCCCAACATTTATGAAGATTTCATTTTGCTATCTGTAGAAAACAACAAAGTTTATGTACAGAAAAAACGCTCACCTATGGTTTCAAATGGCTCGTCGTCAGAGCCACTGCTGGAGAGGTCCGCAAACGTGCTCGATGACGCATTAATGGAGGACAAGAGAAAGTTGACTTGCCTTGGGTCGAAGCTTTCAGACGATTCTTGCGTAGAATATAAGTAGCCCCCATGTAGTTCAAGGTTAAGTTTGTTCCTTGTCTCACTCATTTTTAAAGAGGACGAACTCCAAGCAGAAAAAAAGAATTAGACTCAACTATGAACAGTTTATCTGTCAATCTAAGATGTGAAGTTGAAGTGATTTAGGTAGATGAGGGTTTGGTTTGAAAGACGATATGACTCTTTCAGGCACTCAACACTGACTCGTATACCTCTGGTCATTGCTTAGAGGTTTTGGATCGTTATGAACAGTCTGTCTTTGAAACGCTTAGTATTTTTTTATTGTCAGAGGGGGACAATTATTTGTCACTCAAATTGCAAATTTCCCAATGAACCAATCAAAAGGCACCATGAGACGCAAACTATCCAATCACCGCGCTTGAATACACAACCAATTAGGATATTGTGTGCCAGATACCCAGTCTGTCAGTATCTAGAATTTTTCTTAAAAAAGCATTTGGCGCAGAAACAATTAAATACTCAAAAACAAACTAATAGTTTTTTCAGAAAAATAAACGAATGAATTTAAACAAATTTCTTTCGTAATTGTAGCCCTGCTAACGAGGTGACGATGACTTGTCAACGCACACCTTGCGTGCTATATTTTTACCAGATTTAATATTAAACCAAGTTCCATCTTTTTTGGTATGAAAACTTTAATTTTTTGTTGTCACTTTACTGTCTTATTTTAGACACATGCAGCAGATCAAAAGGTTAAGAAACGACAAGCCAAGTTTACCACGAACACAGGATATTGTTCCGAGGTCACAGCTACACTTTTTAGAATAACTCATCAAGATGTTGCAAGCTCTTCTCGTGGAGGTCGAAGAAGGTTAGACGTAAACTAGATAATAGAGAGTTTTAGATTTACGTTCACGGCAAACGTGAAACGCCAGTTGACCAGTAAAAAATTCTTTTAAATTACTGAAAAAGAATCGCAAAAAAGTCCAAGTAGTAGAAAAACAAAAGAGTATTTGCGCTTGGTGAGAAGGTTTGTAAAAGGTAAAGTAAAAGAAAAGAAAACTATGAAAACGTGGTCACGTTTGCCGTTTGCGGGGAGAAAAAAAAGTCAATCTAAAACTCTCTAATAGCAAATTAAACGCGGCACGCGGTGAAAGAAAGCGCCGCAGTCGGGACTTGAACTGACCCACCTCTAACAAATTATCTGATACCTGAGGTAATCCAGTTATATTACTGGTTGAGACTTATTTCATTATGAGTAACACAGACACAAGGAATGACAAGGGCAGGGATCAAGATCTCTCCGGTGAAAAAAAACCAAAGAAAACCAGACATGTCGTAGCATAGTCTTTAAATCTGCATAGACCCGAGAAGCGCGAATATGCAACAGCGTTAAAGCCGGCCTTTCATTATATTTATATCAAAATAATGACTCGTTCTAACCATGCGCAGAGCCTTCCCCAGTGGTTAAAACACAGGAAACCCAATACAGGTTTGTACAAGCTCAATTCTTTAGATGGTGTTATGATACTAATTTACGTCAACACCAGATTATAATGCTGTTCAAGTAGATTAGCTTGGTGAAAGATAGCTTGGCGGGGCCATAACGACAAAAACCAGTCCGATAGGATATAGAGAAAGCTCCTTTATCTTGCTCAAACTTATGTCGAAGCCACGGATTACTTCTTGACTACTTTCCGATCATTTCCATACGAGTTAGTTAATGCCTTTTCGCACGCTAGCGGTGAAGATCGTAATAGTACTTAAGAGAATGATGCGAACTAAGAAATGAAGAAATTTGAATAAAACTTAGTTTAGAAGATTTTGAGTTCGCGATTAATCCATTTTAGCAAAAGCTTTACGGTGATGAAGATAGTAATAATACTCAAGGGAATGACACGTGGTCTGAAAACATCATGCCAATAACAGACGAATCTTGTATTTTAGTTTATATTACATTGCCACAAGTAATTAATTCTGTATATTAAGTGTGTGTTGTCCCTGCCCACCTTTAGTTACCCTTGACTCCACTGCTAAGATTCGTTGTATTGTGTTCTATTGCACAGCAGTGATAGTATTACCTAAAGAGACTCTTCAAAGGCTGTAAGGACTTGCCCTGTCTGCCTGTCTCTGGATATAATGGAAGAATGACCTTCATATCTCATTACAATTGAATTTCACCAAAATACAACCAACCAGAAAACTTCCGACGGTAGTACAGTCAACGCTTACGCATTTGTCTGTCATCAAAGTACTTCTCTTTGTAAGGGTTAAATTATTTAATATAAACTGTTGTTCGCATACATTTCATAGGAGTCAAAAGAAGTTGAAGTATGGTAGAGAGGTTAATATCAATCTAGGACTAATACTGATAGCAGCTAGTGAAAGGAAGCGTTGCCTCACTGTAAGAATTTCTTGTTGCTTCCTGTTATAATATTTACATTTCATTCTACCTTGCCACACCCAACCCCAGAAGTTTCCCAAAACCCTTTTTTAGTTAGAGTGAATTCCTCACACCCTTTATTCCTTTGATAGCGAGGTGCTGTCATGATAATCAAAGAGAAAGTAGGAAGAAGGTTTCTTCTTTTACGTCCAATCTGTGCAGAACTATAGGTCGTACGTAGTTGCGGAGCGCTATATATTTTTCCATGAGTATGAACTTCTTGATAATTCAATGTCAAAATTTTGTTTTGTCATTTTAGAATTCACTTCCATGGTCGGTTTGTGAATCCACTTCTGTTTCTTCATTAAGTTCTTCAATGTCTTCTGCGCATGTACTCATGCTATCAGCCGCTGACTCGTGATCATCGACGGCATCGTGCTCTGTAGCGTAGCTCGGTGAATTAATTGTCTGTCTGTCACGCTTGGACTTTGCGCGGCGATTTTGAAACCAAACCTAAACATAAATTCAAACAATGTTTTAAATTAAAAGGATATGACGTATAGCATTATGTGGCAGGATCTGATTGGTCCTTACCTGAACACGTGAGTCTCTAAGTCCCAGTCTTACCGCCAGTGTTTTCTTGAATACGCTGGTCGGATAGGGATTTAGAAGGAACGCCCGTTCAAGTTCGTCTATCTGCCATCGTTTGTATGTCGTGCGGTTACGGCGGCCCGGTTTAGTTGAAGGAAAAACATCTGAAAATAAGAAATTGTCGTCAATTATGACTGTAGTGAAAGAGATGATCCTGGTACTTTGAATTTAACGATAAATACATGGTTTATGATGATTTATGAAGAGAATCTAAGGAACTGTTCACAAGAAAAAGAATGCTAAAATGATTCCATGGCCGCATTTCTGTGTATCCTAGTCCTTGCTCGATTGAAAAATGGACGGACATCCTTTAAGTGTCCATAAATATCTTGTGTTTCAGATGCCGTTACGCATGCGTAAACCCCCATCCCCGCTCAACCAAAAGAAAAAGGAAAAAGAGAATAAATATCAGTATAGATGACGATGATGAAATGATACTTATACCGATGATGATGATGACGATGGTGATGAACATGATGACGATGATGATGATATAATAATTGTGATGACAATTTTGATTAAACTTCTTACATTATAAACAACTATAAAAAGAATAGGGGTAGAGGTTTCCATTTTCACTTTTTTGACCGAAGAACAACCATCCACCTAGCTCTCCCAGCCTTCCTAATGCAAATTTGAGCACTGCATATTTTATTGATAGTTCTTCACCAGCTTTATTGGATTTTTAGATTTGCGCCTTCATCAAAATTTGCCTTCCCCAAAAGAGAAAAACAAACGCGCTGCTACACCTGTCCCGCTGTTTGAATAAGGTGTTAAAACAGAAACGTTGTTCAAACAAAAACCAGCAAGCAGACCTCACAACGCTGACACCATCTGACATGAAGCTTAAACTAACAGTTAACTTCGTCAAAACCTTTGTTCATTTATAACACCTCGAACAGAACAGTAATTAAAGTTTAGTCTCACATTGATCAAGGATTATCTATGGCGTACGTTAGGCGATTAAAAGATTTTACTTTAATTAAGTAAATGTTAGGGAAGCCATTTTAATGCTCACGATTTCTCTCATATTAATGATTTTAACATACATTTCATAATTTTTGGACATCTTAATAAGGCTATTAATTCTCATACACGTGGTAAAAGGATGTTATTCATATATTTTTCAATATTTTGGGACATTCAATTTTATGTTCAAGCTCCAATGGCAGAAATTTTAACCGTTGCGCAGCAAATCGAACCATCGTGATATTCCTTTGGCATTTTGAGCTTTTTTCAAAACATGTTATTTCAAGGTTACTGCAAAAATAGTACCTCTAAATTCTCTTTATTTTATCCCAACGTTATAACATCTCTGTTTTTCAAAAAAGCCATTTGAGTGCGGAACAAATATACTTTCTACATTTTTTCCTGAGCAAAGCCGTTTCCATAAAAGTTTTCATAGAATGTTGAATGGCTTCGTAACATAAAAATGCTATTTTAGTTTCATTTTTACGCTTTTTTTTCGAATGAGTCCGAGGCCTTGCTAAAAGTAGTTGCATTTCATTTGAGGATAAAGAAATCACAGTAAGTTAGGTTTAAACATGGTTTAAATAAAGTCAAGCTCAGTAAAGTTAAGACAAAAGCGGTGGTGATTAGCAGACTTATTCGAAAATCTATAAAGAAATCAAAACGATACCCAAAGTAAACAAACGAAACTTAAGACTGGCCCGCACTACAAGAAAACAAGACTCGAGTGATTCACACTTTCTTCGTCATTTTCTTATAACAAATTCCTTTTACCTTGGAAAAAGAGACTTCAAATGAACAACTTCCTTTAGAAATTTTTTTAGTAAATTCTAACGTGATTTTAGTATATCTATATTCCTCATGAAAATACCCAATAAAGTAATTGTATTGCAAATTCTAAAACTGAGAAGATTAAAAAATTTTTTTGAACAATTAATGTAACTTCTTAATATTGATTGTTCATGACAATTTTTTGAATAAAAAGTAAAACGGTTAATAAAGGAAAGCCTTGAATAAATTAATTCATAAAGTTTCAATTTCGAAAAACATTTAAAAAGAATATTTTCATTTCGTATTTATGAAGTCTGGAATTCTAAATTCTCCATGCCAGTTTAGTTAGCGTTGCTAATTTTTATTCTAAACCTTGCCTTATTCACGAACAAAAACTATTTGTACAGAAGATTGCAGTCCAAACAAAACCGGTTCTCATAAACAATAGGTTTTTTATAAAATGGTTTTGAGCTGTCAATTCCTGGTGATTCAAAGCACATACGTTTGTTGTTTTGTTGTTTTCTAGACGCAGTGATACGGGGTGGGATTGGCTCACAGATTTGACAGCTGCGCAAATTTTCCCACTATGACAGTTTGCTTCTCTTATACTTATCCTTCCATAATTTCTTCCATCGAAATCTTTCCCAAAATGTTTTTACTAGAAATTTTAAAATCTTTTCATAATTTGCTAATAATTATAAAATCAAAGATAAAATGAACAGCTTTACCCTATGAGGCGACTAAATTATTGTACAATTTATATCTTACAAAACAAGTTAACTTTAGAAACACTTTGAAGTTTTCTCAACAACTTTACTCTCTCTTTTCGAGATCAAGTTTGGCCATAATGACGAAGAGTATGCAAGGCTGCGTTCTGCGTTAAATCTTTATCCTCTTTCATTCGCTCTTTTGAAGAGATAAGCAAAATTCCCTCGCGGCTTTGCTGCGTTGTTCCTTTACATATTACGTACTTACGTTTTTATTCAGTATTGCATTGCTTAATGCGAGATAAAAACATGAGACGGGGTTCATTTTTTTCCCTTCTGACAAAAGGAAAAAAAAGAGCTAAATCTCTCCGTTAATTTAAAATACTCTCCTGTTTTGTCATTCTTTGAGTTGCTTATAACAAAAATGTCAAACTTTTTCACTAATTAGCAATAAAAAATTGTCACTCTGATTTCTACTTTTTTAATTAAAGTTAATCAATAAATACTCATCAATAAAACTGCCCGCGCCATAATTAACCACAGTAGTCAGGTCAATACAGAAATCAAAATTATAAAGCCTAAACTTTGGGGGAAAAATTGTAGCTAAATCAAAAATGAACACCAACATTCCACTGGCATTTGGAAGTTTATCAATTATACACATCGTTTTTTTGGGTTAGATTGCGAAAAAAAGGGAAAAAAAGCAACGCAGAAATGCTTGAGGTTAGCCACTTGCAATCCATTACAACGGTACGAAGACCTTGGATTTTCTTTTCTTTCTTTCTTTAGATTTTATTAAATATGGTTCATAGTGATTCGAATATCAATCCTCGATAATATAAAAGGTTTTTCTAGTCAACATTGTGCAGAAAATTGATCATTTTATTGAAATAATCAAAGTTCAACTACAAAGAAAATTATGCTTTTCTGTAAATAATAGATTTTAAGTATTAACTAGTTATTGCCCAGAAAATAACCCCAAAATTGGCCACGAATTTCGAAAACTTTGAATGTTTCGCACAATAAGATTATAAAACTATTTCAAAATGCGCTCAAGTTTCAAACTTAAAAACTTTTATTCCAACCTTCAAGTAATCAAAGACGTATGAATAAAGAATGTTTTGGTATATTGATTAACCTTAACGAAATGCGTTCACTCATCACTATCTTCGTAAACTTCACAATAATTATCTTAGTAACGGCTCACAAAAAGAGCAATCATTCTTAATGATGTTGATACCGTGTATAAAAAGTTATTATTTATTATTAAGAAACGTTTCTGCTATAGTTTTAGTTTGTTAGAACTTTGTTTAAGCTGTGAAATACATTGCAAAATAAACTTTTTCTTTTCATCAAAAAGCATCGAAAAAATAACTAAATTTTACTTTATTTTTATCAGTGAAATTGTTGTGCTTCAAAATTCTCTATCTCAAAGACAAAACAGTTAGATTTAAATAATTCCTTAAGTTTTTCCAAATACTTACCATTCAGTTTTGAGGTGTTTTCTAGAAATCCACGTAGTTCTTGTCTTGCATGCGCTCTCTCGTACCTTTGCAGTGAATCACCTCTGACACCATCGTAAGGTTTTTCACAGTAGCATTCGCAGGTACATTGTGGGTATGTTACAAGCGGTGCTCTGTATCGAGTGTTTATTGGTATTGGAAGCGGATGTAATCCCATGCGATAGTTAGGATAAGGGTAGAAATACCCGGCTGGACGGCCTAAAAAATCCATACTAATCCAAAAACCGACGACTCGATATTTTCAGTGAATGTGATAGAGTCTGCAAAGTACGCCACTAAATTGCGAGGATTCTTGACAAAATGAATCAGTGCTCAGATATTAATGCAGTTCAAACGAACTTGAAGTTAACCTTTTGTTAGCGTGTCTTTTATAACTTTGCACATCAGAAGGGCGGAGCCAAGAGTGTCAGTAATCCCTAATATCATCCTCGCAAACAAACGTGAATAAAACCGACATATTTACGCTTCATGCAATATAATGATATGACATCACCATCGCAACCATCATTATTTCCATATAAATAACTTTTAATATTGTAAAAATAGCGATCAATCAGTCTGTAAACCACCTACCAATTTCTGAAAGTTTATGGGTTTCCTGTGTTACCACAAGAAGCCCATCGAAAATATTTACAATACGTATGTTTAAAGGTACAGGTTTTTTTTACGGTTTTTTTATTTTTATTCTTTAAACTGGATTTAAATTTAAGCAAACCGTTAAGAAAACATTTACTTACCATCCTCTTAGATTTAGGTTTTGTTTCATTTTTTGGTTTTTATTTTTGTTTTTACTCGAGTTTCAATTTAAATCTACATTCTGCTGAAACTGTCTGTTGTTTTGTTGTTTTTTTAAAGTTAAAAAGAGCAGGGTTTTTGGTAATAGAAGCAAAGTTTGACAGAAGTAACATACAGAACATGAAAGGTGGAAATGTTTATTTTCAAAATCTGTCAAAAAGTTTTACGTTAGATCTCCATGGTTACCAAATAGCAATCTCTGTCTGTCTGTCCATACATCTGTCTGTTAGTTATTTTCTCTGTCCATCTGTTATTTTTCTTAGGTCCATCTATTCTCACTGTCTGTCAGTTATCTTTGTCTATCTGTCTTTCTGTCAGTGATTTTCTCTGTCCATTAGTTTGTCAGTATTTTTCCTGTCCATCTGTCTTTCCTGTTTCCTCTGTCGGTCTGTCTGTCTTGTTTCTTACATCATTCATCTGTCAAATATTTTCTCAGTCCCACTGTGTGTCAGTTAATTTTGACTCTTTGTTTCTTTCTATCATTTTAGCTCTTTCTGGCTTTCTTTCTCATACACATAACAAGAACAGTGGCTGAATTAGTAAGAGACTCCACACTGTCAAGTTGTCAAATAGGAGTATAAAGTCATTTAATTGGCTAGTTTTAGCCAACTTTTACAGCACTTCAACAAACCAGACTTCCTTGAACAACATAGGGCAATCCCCTTTCAAGTGAGAGTCAAATGAAGTGAGATCTTTCACAGCTTGTATCCTGTGTTCAAATGTGAATACATTGAATCTCAATGGATTTAATGAATCTCACTTTTGAGATCGTCCTTCTTTATATTTCTCAGACTTTTCATAAATGCTGATTCTGAAATAAAACAAGTTTGCCATAAGTAAATATTTAGAAAAAAAATTTAAGTGCATTAGTTGTCAGTGCTTGAACTTAAAGTGGTAATCCCCTAGTCTGGACTATACAACCTCTAGCCAATGGGTTGGTAGCTGTTTAATAATTTATAACAGTTTATTAATAGTACATATTATTATCTCTCAGTTAGTAACTTTTCAGTTCAACTAGCCTAATGGCCAGTGATGAAAGAAGTTAAAGGTGAAGTATTGTTTAATTAAAATTTAATGGTTTTTTATGTAATAAAACTTTATAAAAATTTACCATAATTAGAAAAAAAAATTACTTTCCATAGTAATATTACCCTGCAAGCAGAGCCCCACTTTACCTCCTTCATGGGTGAGAAAAGGTTAAATGGGGCTCTGTTCGCAGAGTATAGTTATATTTAAACTAATTAAGTGTTCCAACATTTCAATGGAATCCTCATACTAATTAGCCATTAAATTCTGCACTCAAATGGTATCCAAAACAATCTCTGTTCTCCAATATTCCAAGGCTTTGCTGTAATTCTATAAGTTACATAACCAAAATTGATGTAATATTTTAATTTGTCTTAAAATATATTTATTTTCTATCCATTATTTATTTCTAAAATTTATTCAAATTAACCAGAATCTGCTCTCTTAAAATTCTTACGCAGCAATTTCTGATAAATAGCTAAATATATATAGCACTAAATACAAGTTTAGTCAAGTAAGCCTTTGATGACTCTTTTAGATGAGACATATTTTACCCAGACAATATATTAGCCCATAGCACTATATATTCGCTCGATCTCACACTTCGATCTCACACTTCTGACACCTTTGTCATGATACTCATTGCAATCCGTCAAGAATTTTGCTCTCATTTATTCTTAAGACAACTTTTTCTACTTCCAGGTACAAAACATATAATTTCTAATCTAGGATTACAATGGTTTATAAAAATGGCATAATTTATGTAAAGAAACTCAACATTTGCCCCTTGAGAAGAGAGACCATAGTGTCTATTCATTTGCATATAAAATGACTTCAGAAAAACAAATATACTACAAATAAACAAGGAAAATACAAACTAATACTTTTAAGAACAGCAAGGAAACTTTAGAAATTTAAATTTATAAAAAGGAATGAAAAGGAATTAGGAAAAGATAGAAAACAAATGCCAGGAAGAATGACAAGTGAACATGAGAAGAATCTAATTCCTAACGTAAACAATTCGGGCTCCCGAGCAAGAGGCTCTTCGCCTTGGGTGTGTCGAGACAGCATAAAAAAATGCATTCTTGAAGACTTTCTTTATTTTAAGAAAGCCCAGATATTAGCAGAAGATATTCTTAACATACCTTGTGACCGCATAGTTTTTTTAAAGGCTAAAATGTTATTAGAAATTCATATTTTTTTGAAAGCTGTGACGAACATCTTTGAGAGACGTCAATGACGCTCGCTTCGATTTGACCACGTCGTTGTGGAAGGAAAAATTTTATCATGGAAAAATCTTTATAATAAATCAAATATAATTTGTTAAAATAAACCAAATATATTTTTTATAGTTTAGAAAATCAGACAAATTTACTTTAAGATGCAGGAGATATATTTAACGGAATAATCAAAGGAAGAAGAAAAATTAATTTTGCCCTTGAAAGCGGATATTCCGAGCGCCAAGACTATGGAATTTGTTTTTCTATTTTCTCGCTCTCATACTTCGCATTTGTTCCTATAATGGCCTGAAATAAAAAGTAAAACATGGGTTTGATGTTTTCAGGGGGATTTTGTAGCATTAAATGCATTTGAGAAAGAAAAAAGCGGCACTTTATCTTCGAACCAACATGCTGTCGAACAAACTCAACATGGCGGTTTCCTTTTTGTTTGGGAAGTCGTCGACAAAAACTCAAAAACTGCAAAATCCAAAGCTGGAATATTGGTAAAAATTTATACGAACGTAGATTATCGATAGGTTAGTGTGTTAGGGAGGTCAATTCCAGGATGGAGAGGAATCCGAAGACGTAAAACCAAAAAAAGAAATGTAGATTTGACGCTTGATCCGACAAGAAAGCACAAACAACACTGCGAAAGTTATCAGAGATTCAAAACCAACTGTGCCTAACTTTATCCAAAATTACCACCAAAAACAACCTAAAATGAGCTAAAAATGAACAAAATATCCAGTGTAGCTTCAATAAGTATAATTCGAGTATTTAAACGGAAAAAAAGTGCTGTAAAATTGCATTTGAAGTTCGAGAGTTTGATCGAAGAAAAGACTTTATCCAGCCATTCTTGCGCTCGTAGAGCATTTTTCGCAAGACAACAGACGTTCCATACCACACTACATTTTACCTTGAAAAACCTCTAAAAACACAATTTTTTCGACTCATGCAACTTGTAACAACATTAAGTCAATATATATTAACTCTGAATCGATTTTTTTTCAAAAATATAGAAAATTCGTTGAGTTTAAGGCAAATGTTTATGACAGAAGCAATTACGAGAATAGGTTCACCGCCATGCGGATGTGTTTGTTGGTCAAATTTAAAATATTTTTTTACCCCGAAATAAAAATATCCTGATTATCAATGTCCTCTAAGACAAAAGTTAGATGACTTAACTTTGTTATTTCATTAAAAGCAGTGCGCAAAACACCTTCCCCGAAGTATACTGCAATGTTCTCTTAATAAACTCTGTATAGAACATTTTGCACTTTCCTACTTTTACACCAAATGCACGAAAAACACAACAAAACCTCGTAATTTTTTACCTTGAGCATAAAGTCCCAACTATAGTCTTTTCATCTGTGTAGTTTTTATGGTTATTGAACTAAAGGAATGGCTCTGGGGATGCGAAAAACCGGAGCAAGAAGCACAAAGTTTGCAATGGCTGCCCAAGTTACAATTATTTGGTGGTGTTTCCTCGGTGGTTCGCACGGTCAGTATAAATAGGCTGCGCGTAGTTCACTGCGTCACTTCTCCCCAAGCACTACCGAGAGACGAAGTAACGATCAAGCGTTCGATCGATCGATTGTTCTACACGAGTCGATAATCAATTTATTGTCAACAATCATTAATTCAAGATGTCGGACACAGCGGCCTCAGCACCAGTGAAAGCCAAGAAGGCAAGCAAGCCTAAAAAGCCAAGCGAACATCCAAAGTACGGCGACATGGTTGCAGAGGCAATAAAATCATTAGGCGATCGTAAGGGATCTTCTCGACAAGCCATCGTCAAGTTTATTAAAGCAAATTTCAAGGTCGGAGATGGCTCAGAGGTTCACGTAAAATTGGCGCTAAAAAGAGGAGTGGCAAATGGGAAATTTACGCAGACTAAAGGAGTTGGAGCATCAGGATCTTTTAAACTTGTAAAACAAGTAGTCGAGAAGAAACCGAAAAAGGAAGTAAAGAAAACTGAGAAGAAAGTGGCGAAGAAGACCGTCACTAAAAAAACAAAGAAGGTCGCAGCAAAGAAAAAGGCAGAAAAACCCAAAAAGAAAACGGAAAAGCCTAAAAAGAAGTCGGAAAAGAAATCTCCAAAGAAGACACCTAAAAAGTCAGTTAAGAAGAGTCCCAAAAAAGTAACGAAAAAAACAACGCCTAAAAAGCCTAAGAAGCCGGCAGCGAAGAAAGTCGTGAAAAAAACAGCAAAGAAAAGCACCACAAAGAAGAGCAAAAAATGAACATAAACTCAAGACGTTTTGACGAACAATGAATGGCATTACGTTAAATGAGCTTATCTGAACATCTATTTCGTTTTGTGTTGTAAAATACTGAAAATATGTTAAGCACAGGGCAAGACCTTGGTATAAAAACTCATCAAGATTTGTTTCTTAGGGACGTTCAGTGTTATACAAATCGTTACAGTGGACTAGACCAAGACTTTATAGGACGTAGTCGTAGTCGTAGTAATAATTAGTGTTGAAATTTCGTATTTATAGTACTCGGAAGAGTGGTTGTTTATTTGTATATAAAAATGTACTCCAAAAGAATATTCCAAAGAGAAAAATATCAATAAATTTTTTATACAGATTAATAATAGTGTTGCTCACTCTATCATATTTTTTCATTATTTTCTTTTTTCACTGCGCAAATAAATTTCTATTTTTCAGTGTTTTTTAAAAATATTTTTTTCTTTTCAACATTTGAAGAGTTGCGCAGTAGAGTGCATATTAATAACTGTACTAATGAAGAAATTGCAAACAAAAAATAAATGCAGTGTATAGTGCTATTTAGTTCTGGTGCTTTTAACGGATGTATATGATTTGGACTTCGTGATCGCCCTCTGTATGTCGTAAACAAATCCAAAGTTTGATCTTTTTAGTGACGCTGTTTTGAACAAAGGACGCTCAACAAAGCATACATCGGAAGCCACAAATGAATCGTGTCAGCCAATCACATTTGAGTATTGCGGTACATCCACGTGGTTTAGCATCAACCGCTGTTTTGATCGATGGGTCGCACCTTACCGCATATACGAGGAAGTAACGCTATTGAGACTGTTTCATTATAAACCTCGCTCTATATTAGGTCGAGTACTTTCGCAACAGTATTTTTTGAGCAATCTAACCCTTGACTATAAGAAATAGTTGTAATATCGCAGAAATCCCGCACTTGGCGACACAACAGAGCTAGGCTCCAGGTGAAAGCCTAAAGATTGAAATGGAATTTGTGATTTTTGATTGCTTTTTGAGGGAGGAAAACCAGAGAACCCGTAGAAAAACCCTCGAAGCACAGGAGAGAACCAACAAACAACTTTATTCTCATACGACACCGAGACCTGCAGGACTCGAACTTGGGTCGCATTGGAGGCACATTACCAGCGCACACCACTAGTGTTTCATGCATTCCACTCGTACAAAAACAAGAGTCCGTAAAGGTACGTTGACTTTAAAATTGGGCCCCAAGATTCACAGTTCTTTAAAATATCGCATAAAAGATTTGAGTGAATAAATAAATAAATCGACTACAAATATTTATGCATCAATTTTTTTAATGAACGCATAATTTGAGCTAGCATTCGTATTTACAATATAAACAAGGTAGTTTCTTTGTAAAACGGACGGGTTTAGACGGCCACCCTCTAAATACTTGTGTCCCTACTGTCAATAAAACGCACTATCAGATACCGAGACTACAGACGGCCCCTTGTGCAGCTTGTGTCCCCCACCTGGGGTGATCTTTGCCGCTCAAGGGCCGTTGGTGTCTAGTTCTGTCCTATAGGTGTACCAAACGAATGCGTGCTTATAGTGAAAGATTTTTCGATCTATTTTACGGGAGGTCTTTGTCTTCTAGGTAACGGTATTCGAACGTGAAGCCCTCCTTTTTCCTTTGCTGCCATTTTTCGTAATCAAAATAGATGTAGGTACCCTGGGAAAAAAGAGAAAAGAAATAAAACAAAATGAGAGATAATTATGGGACAAATGATCAAAACAGTCAAATGCGCAATGAAAATAGAGAACGAATGATTAAAATTAAACGAAAGATAAAAATGGAACGATTGATCAAAATGGAACGATTAGTCAAAATACAGTAGAATGAACAATCAAAAATGAACTGATTAAAATTAGAACGGATGATCAGAATAGTAAGAATGATAAGAATGATTGAAAGATGCAGGTGTAGAACTTCACCTGTTCATATTCGTCTGTTATCGCCTTGGGCTCTTCGTGTCTCTGAAACCACATCATGTACTTGGTGTGAAATCTCCAAGACTGTTTTTTAAGTGCCTTCGCTGCCAAATACTGAGCTCTGGTCCCCTGCAGAATACACACATATTATATCAGCTTTAAACAGAGTATCAAATGGATTAACTTTTAACTTTTTGGGGTTACTGGTTCGAGCCCTGCTGACACCATATGTGAGTTTATTTGATGTGCTGTACTCTCCTATACTAGGAGGGTTTCCTCCGGGTTCTCCGGTTTCGTTCCTCCGTAAAACCTATTGCACCATCACGTGACGGCAGCCATGCAAGATGACAGGAACAATACAATCGTTTTACATGAGAAAGAATTCAATTCCCGAGAGCAAGGGGATTTTATTGTTCTGCCACCCAACCACAGGCAGTCCAAGCTGTATTATGGTCACTAGCACGTGATGGCGCAAAACCTCTATCTGTGAGCAAGCCATGCCCTGACTTAGATCAGCCCAGAGGTTATTTAGGATATTGGTAAATTTTGAATGCTATGGTAAAGTATTACAGCGAAGAAGAGCAGTATAGCTTACCTCTTGATAATAGAAAATAAAGAACAACGTTTCAGGTTGTAGCCTTTGGAAGAAATCTATATTTTCCACATGGGAGGGAGGGTGTTGGTGGTAGTAAGGGGGAGCAGGGTAGGGATTCCTTGACAAGCATGGCCTGTTGAAAATATAACAAAAATAGTTAAATATAATCAAAGGAAAAGAATGCAGTGAAATTCCTGATGGTCGTTAAAAGGGTTTTAAGGTAGCTATGTTGGTCAATGTGATAATGATTTTGCTCTATCCTGATTGGCTTAAATCTCTTAATTTTTGTTCAAATGGTCCTGGTTAGTGCCCTCACAATAAAACTTCAACGTCAATATTAAGTTGTTTCATTATCAACACTCACCTAACCCTCTCTGAGTCAGCAGGAAGGGGCAAATGATGGTATGCTGCTTCTAGCATTGCCAACTGATAACACCGTTCTTTATTGAGGGGTACAGGGCCTAATGGTGCCACGCCTAGTAATGGCTGCAGGTGTGCAGTGTTGGTTTCTACTGGACCTTTTGTTTCTTCTGCTGTTCGACTTGATGAAGTGGTGTCGAAGAGCCCTGTAAAGTTACAAATTGGGCATTAAGATTTTAAACCCTTGAATTGATACAGGAAGTATCGTCTAAATTACACTAAACTCCTCCTTTTACTTTGGGTATAATTCTATCCAAATTTAAATCTTTTGAAAATAAGATTCTTTGTTCAAGTTTCATCCATATTGACAAAACATCTTAGAATAGTACATGGTCTTAAATGGGAAAACATTGTGCCCAAAGGATTAGGGTCCATAAACAACTTCATTGAAATCCAATTGAAGCTACTAGAACACACAGGAATCCCAATCTAAATTTCTGCAACACACAGGAACCCCAAAACAATTGTCTCTTATGCACAGGAATCCCACTAGAATATTTCTTACACATAAGATTTCTACATTGTAAACCACTCACTCATAGCAATAGACCCCTTGCATGTGACATCAAAGGATTTCAATTTGGAGGACAAAACAAAAGAATTTTAGTCTCCTGAGAATTGGAAACCTATTGTTTTGCCCTCCAAATTGAGCTGCATTCCGAAGTACTGCAAGGGGTCTATCGATCTAGTTGGTGCATGTTTACAAACATTATCTTTGTGATATTAATTTGTCAACCATCACCAGAATAGTTCTTGACCAGTTGCTTAGTTTTATCAGTGAATCAATCTTTGGTTTTCATGGTAATGACACTAGCTTACGTCAGAGCAACTAGCTCTATAGGTTTTCTATATGGACAATATCTTTTCCCAGGTGGATGGAATGTTATTGATCAGAATGCAAGGGCAACTAGCAATGTTTTCTGACTGTTAAAGAGATTTACAAGATAATTTCATTCAGCTGAAAGTAACATAAGGTTCGCTTTTGGCAAGGCAGTCTTAAATAATTTCTGTGGGGGAAAATTTCCCCATTCTATTTATCATGTTTTTTTATAAGTTTGAGGAAAGAATATGTTTTTATCCTGTATTTATCATGAGATTTTATGCATATCACTTACTTGTCAGGAACTTTGAAGTACTATGGGGCATTCTTTGATCATTGTGGAATCTGTTTTCAAGATCTGAGTGGAATGGGGAGGAGAACAAGAAATGTTGGAAACATAAATAGCGGCACTCTAGATATGGTTGAGTAATTACTAACAATGTGGCTCCAAGGAAATAAGGATGTAATTACAATTATTATTCCATTGCTACCCCAGAGGACCCCAGAGCCTCAGGTTGGAGCATTTTGTATTCAATAGCTAAACCAGAATATTGAAAGTGGGTTACATGGTGGCCAGACTTCTGAAAATGCTAGTCTAGTTTACAGTATCTAAAATATTCATATCACTTCTATTTCTGCACACTCTGAATTTGCACTCTCATACCAAAAAACCAAGCAGTTTCCTACACTTCCCAAGTGTTCTCTCAGCATCACACAAGTTCAGTCAAAAAATATAAATAAATAAAAATAAAAGTAAATAAAATAAACTGTTCTATATTTTAAGAAAGAAAGAAAGTTTAAGTTCCCCAAAAGAAAAAAGAAAAAAGCTCCCCTTGGAAGCACTGCTTACATAAGAAAAACAATAATTACCTCTTCCATCAGCAGAATAATCCATAGGAACCTGAACCTGACTGTGTAAATTTGCCGTGGCGACCGCTTGAGCTGCAATGGACTTGAGTGATGAAAAATGATCTGACGTAGTGACATGTCGTGGTGCAGTATTCGCCATAAAGTGTGGATTATTGATCAGAGACGCTACAGATTGCGTTGATACTGCTAAAGATTCCACTGAAGACATAGGTGGTGTACTTAATGCTGTATTAGTAGTACTGGTTAATAACGAGGAAGTTAGACTCACAGGCATTCCCATCATGCTTAGAGCTGCAGTTGAACTGGGTACAGAAGTTGATGGTAGGGATGAAGGTAAAATCGTTAAAGGAGCAGAAGATAGAGGAGGAGCCCCTACTACTGATGCGACTGGATTGCTACTGGGTATGCTATTACGCATAGGGAAGGAGCTTGATGTCGCTGCAGTAGACATAGTTTCCATGGAAAGGGAAGAAACTGATGATACCAGGTTTGCAATGTCAGTAGAAAGACTTGCATCTACAGAAATATTTCAAAAAATGTAGTTAGATTTTTGACTAAAAAGTTTGGTTTTGAGTTGTCTTTTTTTAATTTCTATTCAAAGCATGTAGGGATGATCTAGGAATAGAGTGTGTTCATGGCAGCCATGTTTGTTGGTTAAACAAAAGAATTTTTTTCCCTTGGGAAATAAGTTTTCTTGTCATGCAAAAATATTACATTGTTTCTGGCACCAACATGGCTGCCGTGAACACATTCTATAAAATAACAGCTGGTCATAGACAACATCCAGCAAGAATTAGAACTTATGCATTAAAATATTTGAATGAAAGCAAGGATATAAAAAGTGAAAAAAGGGGGTGAAAGAAAGGAAGGAGTGCACACCTTTGTTTTGTAACGTATCATGACTGTTCACAACTGATGACGTAGACCTAACGATATTCGTACTACTAGGTAGAGGGGTATGGTTCACCATTCGAGGGGGTTGGCTTGGAGTTGCATCTACATGGTTCTGTTGACTTCCTGCTACGACAGCGTAACCTGACACAGGGGGAGGCGGTGATTCTGATACTGGTGTCTTGGGATTGGTTAATACTTCTCCAATATCGTTAGAACTAGTTGAGTGGTTTTCATACGAGTTTGTCATCACAGAACTATTAAAATAGCAAAATGCTTTGTGAGTTGAGTGTTGTGTGCAACAGCCAAAGCTTACAAAATAATTTGCCTGCTCTAACGAATAAAAGATTATTGTTTTGGTTAGAAATTTGATTAAAGGAGGCCAAAAACTTATACCCCATTCACACCAAGGCTTAAACATGTTTTAAAGTGGTTTAACTAAACAGGTTTGGAAAACTATCTACGAACACTGCACAATATTTGGTGAAATAATGCATGTAAACTGTCCTTTGTCTTGCTGTGACAATATTTTAGAAAGTTTCATTATATTGTAGGTTTCTAGATTCTCAATTTTTTTCCTAATGAAAACATTGTTTAACTAAACACCTTTAGGTGTGAATGGGATACTAGATGTCTGTAAGTAAAGCTGCTTTATTACTTTTTATTTTATTTAAATAATTTTCCAAACCAATGCAGGTGATAACACGATAGAACATTAAGTCCCCTATGCGGTGTGTCACCCAAGGGGTGATATATCATGCCTGGGTGGAATGAAAATGGGTACATATAGATCAATAAGTACACACTGTGTTGCCTCCGATGTCTGTAATGGGGTACTACTATATTGACAATAAAATATATTTATACTGTAGATGAACAAATAAAGTTTTTTTTTAATATTAATAAACAATAATAATAATAATGATGATAGTATGTTTTATAATGCTATTTCCAAAACCCTTCCCCATTAGCACTTTACAAAAGAAAATTTTACAATCTAATATCAACTATTATTAATAATACATACTTGATTGGTTTAGATGATCCATTACCTGTAAAAATTCATAATAGTTAATAATATTATACACATAAATTAATAATTGACATTTTTTTCTTTAAAAAGTGTTGGTCAAAAATGTGCGGCATCTGAAGAGACACTTACTTGTCTTGGCTTCAGAACTATTGACTGCTGTCATTGACGGTTGTCCAGAAGACGATAATGTTGGTTTCAGTACTGGTCGCTGGCTTGTCGTTCCTTGAAGTATATTGTTTGCCGGCAAGCTGCCTTTGGAGTTTTTCCTTGGAGAATTCTAAAAAAATATTAACTAAATTAGCAGTGTGTAGAAATATTTTACATTAATAGGGGTTTAGCACAATCATGTCACAGAGACCATGCTGGAAGGTAGAAACCATACAATCATTTTTAAGAAAGAATTAAATTTCTCAGAGTAAGGGATTTCTGTTTTTCTGTTTTTCATACAAATCATGGACTCATATGAAAGTAATGGACAAATTTGACCTAGGCTTAATATTTTCCCATATCAGACCAGGTGTCATTTATTTGAGAATAAGATTCTTTGTTTGAGTTGTATTTATATTTATGGGTCTTTTCATGCGCAATCGTTAAACAAAGGAAATAATAATCTAGGGAATAAAACCTGGTCTTGAAATGGGAAAACATTGGAAATGTGTCACTGCAACTTGTCTCTTAATGTATATAAACTTATAGAATTGACTGACTCATATATTTGGTATTCTTACTTGAGTTGTTTGATGGTTCTTGTTGGAAGATATAGTTGAAGGGATCGAAGATGGCGATGATGGAAAGTTAGAGGAAGTAGGAGAGGTTGGTATAGAAGTAGCAGGTGAGCTAGGGACATTATTACTAAGTCCATGATCGTCATCGACGTCATTTTCTGTTGACTCTAATAATGCTGTAATAAAAACAATCGTAGTTAGGATAGTACATGCACGCTGATTGGTCGAAAATTGTGCTTCATTAGTGAATGGAGCACAGTAATGACGCCATCCACTCACACAAAGTGCTGCTAGATCCTGTGACTGTATTTCTTTTTGCGTAAATAAATTCAGTACCGAAATAAAATAATTAACTATATGATAAAACGAATAGAACAGTATTTTCCATGCTCATTTCAGTACCATAGCACTTAGGAATTTCCATAAGCACTCAAAAAGTGTGAAAATCACTTGCCTATGGCTCGTGCTTCTCCTTACACTTCTTTCATGCTTACATCACTTACTGTTTTCTTCATTACTGAATGGAGCAAGGAAAAAGCTGTTTTCTTTGTTAAATATAATGATTTATAACTCATCAACCCTACGCAATGTAAACTTGCTACAATGCAAGCACAGTGGATGTCTGTAGACCATGACATAAATGTTTATTATATCACAAATCTTTAATTGAAACAAAAATATATTTAGCTCTTAAGGACACTTAGGATTTTGAGGCCATTATCTCCATCAATGGAGACACACTGTCACCATGGCAAACCCTTCAAAATAGTCTTAAAATAGGACCGAAACCATGTAAAGACGACAGAGCAGAAAAACAACAAGTCTGCTACTTTTGCAACTTTTTTCTTTCATTCATGCTAAAAAACGTATAGTGTTTCATTTGTGTCTCTTGTGCTTTAAACTTTTAACAAAATTCTGCTAACCTCGAGCAATTCTACTTCGAGGTATTAGCGAAAATGTTAGTTTTTGTGCTGATCAAAATATCATCTCTCCCAACATTCAGGGCGTTATATCTCAAATACGCATTCCTTAAATTTCCCCAATTTTGGTATTACGCTAATCAGCCACAAAAGAGCCTGTTTATGAAATATATAAAGCTTATTAACGCATAAACGGCGAAAGTAGAACCCATTTTTCTACCTTCTCCATAAAGACATGATTAAAAAATACAAAACAAACACATATATATATATATATTAAATTAACCAGCATTCCTTTTGTATTTTTTATTTCAAAAAGATTAAAAAATTAATAACCAACATCACAATTAAAGAGAAGAGGGAAGTCTGTGCTAAACTTACATGAATCAAAATCAATATCTCCATCCTCTTCTCCTTCCATATCAAAATCATCATACATAAATTCGTTTTCCTGGAAATCTGGCTCCTGGCAGCAGTCCAGGTAGTATTCCATATCCTCTCTGAGTTGCCTGATCTGTTAGGTAGTCAAAAACAAATTATTCATGCTGATTAAGTTGAGGTTTACATGATCTTTTATTATCCATTTCCTATGAACTGACAGGGGGAACCTTTAAATTGTATCTGCAGTGATTGAACCCTGAAACAACCTCTGTGTTGTTATGAGCTAGGTCATCTGTAACTCACAAATTGAGCCCTGAAACAACCTCAGGGCTGATCCTAAGTCAGGGCTAACGGCTAACTCACAGGTTGAACCCTGAAACAACCTCCGAGTTGATATGAGCTAGGTCATCAGTAACTCAAAGATTTAACTCTGAAACAATCTCTGGCCTGGTCTAAGTCAGGGCATGGTTAACTCACAGATTGAACCCTGAAACAACCTCTAGGCTGGTCTAAGTCAGGGCATGCTTAACTCACAGATTGAACCCTGAAACAACCTCTGGGCTAATGTAAGTCTGGGCCGGGTTGTTCAAAGCTGGATTAGCGCTAATCCAAGATTAACACTATAGGTATTATTAAGAGTTAACCCAGGATTAGCACTAATCAGGCTTTGAACAACTGGGCCCAGGACTAATGGCTAAATCACAGATTAAAATGGAATTTAGCTTGTTAGGTTTTGTAGGAGGAGGAAAACCAGAGAAAAACTCTTGAATTGATGGAGAGAACTTGTAAATTTTACACTTATACACACATGTGATGCTGAGTCAAGGAATCAAACCAAAGACCCCAGAGGTGAGTGTAGAGAGCTTTAATAGGATGTGTGAGAGTGTCAGAGGTGGGAAGTAAGAAGGAGGGGGAGGAAGGGGGATGTCTCTCTCAAATTAACGTCAAGATGTGAAATTGTTTAGAAGACTATCTAATAGCCAACTTACATCATCACTTTCAATCGTTCCATTGTCCAACATTCTGAGTATAATCTGAAAATAACAATAATAATAATAATTTATTCCTTATATGAAGCAAATTCCCATGTGAATATGATAAAATGTGCCTAAATAACAAAAGAAATTAAAAATCCTTGAAGCTTTAGGTATTTTGTGAATATAGTTACTATATAATATTAATTATGAATAAATAAAGAATAAACGTAACACCTGATTTTCCGTAGAAATATATGAAATAATGGACCAAGTCCACTTGAGTATAATATTTTCCCATTTCAGACATGTCATTCTCTTGAGAATAAGATTCTTTATTAGAGTTGTATGGATATTCGTGTGCCTTCTCTTACATAAACATTAAATAAAGAAATGATACTCTAGCAGGGCTTAAAATAACGGCTGATCAGTTGCCAGTCATGATCACATGCCAAAAAATTTTCTTCAAAGCATTGTCCGATGTCCTGCAGTTACTTTAAGCCCTGTTTAGGGAAAGAAATGTGGTCTGAAATGGGAAAACATTATGCTCAAATGGATTTGGTCAATACTTTCACACTCCAAGGGTTATACGCCACGCTCTGCGAGCACTTACCTCTAGTTTGTCATTATGAAATCTATGTTTATCAGCCAATATATGAAGATCATCAACTTTCTCTTGTTTCTATAACAAACAACATATATGAATCTGTCCATTGGAATTAAAATCTTGTCTCTCAAACAAGTATGCAGTATCTGCCTGAAAGAGTTCTACAAGGATGACAAGGCAATTTTATTTTATTTTCACAGGACAGTAAACAATTCTGTGAACAGAGTTTTCAATTCTGAGATATTCTAGCTAATTCGTTGTGCTTGTGGGACAAAGCAACTTTAACTGAGGGAAGTTGAAACCTTGATCGACAAAACTTACATCTTTTTCAAGCTTTTTCTTTTTAGAACCTGCATGTAGCATCTCTACTTCACTCTCAAACTGATCAATCTTTGAACAAAAAGGAAAAAAGCTCAAGTAAACTCAAAGAACACAGGAGAAAGCCACAAAGGATTTTTTTTAATGTGTTGATTAATCAATTAACAGACTTAATTCTATTCAAATGAATTACCTGTAAATTTATTCTCTCAAGGACATCCTGAATGAGAAGAAATGAGTGAATAGACAGCATTAAAAACCATTTCCATTTTCACCAGCTCATTGTTACTACAATAGACCTATCCTGAATTCGCTTGACTGAACACAAAATAATGGTTTGAAGTTGAGACTGAACTTGATTCTTTTATTTATCAAGTTCAACCTCAACTTGAAACCATGTAAACAGTCAAGGGAATTCAGGATAGGTCTATTTGCAAGCTTTTGTGAGGCACGAGAAGCATTTTGTGACACGACAATCATTGAAATGTCAGATTTTGCTGCACTTACTGTAATCCACTGTCTTGCCTCTTCTCTCTCTTTCTGTGCTGGATCAATCTTTGCTGCTAGCCCTAATCCTATGCATCAACAATAATATAATATCATTACCTTTTCTTAATTAATAGATCCCATCAACAACCTATCATGTTTTAAACTTACATGATTTACTTCAATAATAAGGTAAAACAGATTAAATATAAAGGGTTGCCCTCATAATCGATCATTTCACATTTCATGCTGTGTCATTTCCTTGAAAATCTTTGCTCTCATTAAAAGTAATTCTTAAGAAGATAAATAAACACTGGGTTAAAAATAATGACTGGATAATTGACAATATCACGCCAAATTTTGTCACTAGTCAAGCCAGAAGCCCGTTAGACCGCAGCTCTTGGCCATGTTGATCAGCCCAGTCGCTGGTCATCATGTGTGACCATTGACCAGCTATTATTAGCAATGTAATTTGGATCTGATGCTAACATATTATTATTCTAAAAGGAATAACACATGGTCTGAAGTTATACAATCTTTGCACCATAACATGATGCAGCCACGACAGGAGGCAGGAACAAATGAATCTGGTCTAATCTGATTTAAATATAAGAAAGAATTTAGTTTCCCAGAGGAGGGACTCTACTGCTGTGCCTCCTGTCATGGCTGTCATCAGGCAGTGATGCAAAGCCTCTACAATATTATATCAAAAGTAAATTATTTTATTATTAATGACATGCTTCGATATATATAGATGTTTAAGTGAGTTAAAAGCAATAGCACTTGAGCATGCAAATTTTTTTTCTATTTAACTAACTTCCTGTTTACATTCCACTTGTATCAGGTATGGTCTGTAATAAACTCTCTACTTTACAAGGTATAATATTTCAGGTAAGTACAATTTTTTATAAATGCATACTTTACAATAATGTTGGGTCAATAACAACAGAATAATGAATTACCAACTGCTGTTTTTGATTCAAAATATAACATCAAAACCCTGTGAAGAAGTCATTTAACTCTATCTTATCCTATAGTAGTGAAAAACTTCTACTAGTGAATTTTACACAGTCTACACATAAAAAAATGTAAAGCGCTTTATGATATTTTAATAGGTTGAGAACTGTATAAATTATATTATATTATAATTATAATAAACAGTAATACTGTAGTTCATTATCATTCCCCAATCTACTGTTTTACTCACCCTTGAAAATCAAGTGTGGTGTAGTGTAGTGCACTTGCCTCTCAACTCTGGGGTCTCAGGTTTGATTCCTGGACTCTGTACCACATACATTAGTGAACCAACTGTGGTGTAGTAGTGGTACACTCTCCTTTCACCTCTGGGTTCTTAGGTTTGATTCCTGGACTTGGCATCTCGTGTGAGTAGAGTTTGTTATGTCTCTCTCTTGATTCAAGAGTATTTCTCTAGGTTGTACAGGTTTCCTCACTCCACAAAACTTATCAGCTAAATTCTTATTTGATATGTGTTTAGCTGTGTGCCCTGACTTTAATCAACCCAGAGATTGTTTCAGGTTATCATTCAAATGTTAACTCACTCATTATTGAGTAACATCTTAAACAGACTTTAAAAATAATCATTTGATAAAAGAAAACTGCCACTTGTGAACATTTTTAATGAATCATGGACAGAAATTAAATGGGATGATAAGATGAAAGACATTTAATGACAAAGGAAGGAAATGAAGTAAAAGCTTTATGTTAAGTGTATGCTACATTGAGTGTATAAGCAGATTAAAAAATCTGCCTCAGTTGGGTTCTCGCGGGACTCGAGCCACTGACCTCTCGTTTGCTAGACGAGATCTCAACTGCTCGGCCACTGAGGCTTTACGGGAGAAGGTCGTGTTAGATCTATATTTTAATCAAATCCACGCATGATCTTTTACCCAACACGTAAAAGCTTTCAAAGAACATGACAAATTGATCAGTAAACGTCACATTAAACTATTAAAAAAAGAGTAGATCAACTATAATTCAACAAGTTAACCTATTGCAACTAGATTAAATCCTAAATCAGGAACAAAAAAGGTACAAAACTCCTCAAAACATTTGAGTAATTCTGGGAAATCCTTGCAAAGAATGCCAGACATCTGAACTAGACGTAACGATCTCTATCCTACTGGGAATTATTTTGAATGTCTAGTGTCTGATAGACAATAGATTCCATGCTTTTATAACTCTAAAATATTTTACATATCTTCCATATGTTAATTAGTTAATTCAATATTTAGTATATAACTTCAATAATTTGGTATTTGTAAATATCTGTGCGATTCAGTCTGCTATTGCTACTGCCATGTAAATTTTTATCAATAAACTTATCTATATATCTAGACTTTATCATCATGAATATTTTTCAAAATATGAAGATTGATGTTATTAACCATTTCTAACTAATAAAACAGTATATCATATCATCAAAATAATCAAACTCAAGATGTAAGTGGCAAAGCATTGTTTTAAATGATCACTGATGTACAATGATGCAGGTATCACCATTAATCACCACTCATAACCCATTGGTTAAAAAGCTTTATCCAGTAAATAAGGAAATCAAAATGATCTATTTTTCATTTTCCAACCACTGGATAAAGCTCTACCATCTAAACGATGCTTAGCTACTTTTCAGATGATGGAGACCAAGTGCTATAGTCCAATCATACCTTCTTTTGAATATGCTTTGGTTTTCGTCTCTCTCTCCACTACCTTAAAACGTTCCATTTGCTAATAATATTAAATATATGGTTAATAAAATCGATATGTTTTATTAATGATCAATAATGAGTAAGTACTGGTAGTATTATTTATGCAATCATTTTTAAGATCGGGTACTTGAGTTTTCAAAAAATCGAGTTCTACCGCCAAAACTGTCCAAAGAATGCGATAAACTCACATACAATAAGGCACGCGAATTACTCACTTGTTCGATGAGTTTTCGATTTTCCAACAGCGTTTTTTTGTCCTTGATGTCATTGGATGCCACCCAAGTTTTAATCTGATCTCGTAGTCGCTAAAGGAAGGATAAAATAGCCAAGGTTTTCGCTTTGGTTTGAAAACGAAAGTAAACGAAAGTAGAGCAAAATAGCTTTAGTCTGACAACTTCGAGCGAGTGAGTATTTTGGAGGGAGATCCTTTACCTGTAACTTTTTAATTTCTTTTTTAAGGTCGGCTTCATACTTTTCCTTCTGGTTTGAATTCGATGCATTATGTACCTAAGAAACACCAAAGTAGGATTAAAAAGAGTAAAGACAATTCGAAGTTATGAAAGTTCGATGAATAAGGAATAGCATTACATCGCTCCACCAGACTCTCTCCTTCGATAATGACAAAAATGCGTTCATAAAATGAAAATGCCACCGACCTTCTGCCAGATATCTTCAAATGTTTCGACTCCTTCACTGACTTTTTTAAGGCAGCGCTCAATCTCACCTTGAATTGAAAGGAAAGCTGAGTTTTTGACGGCCAAACACGAGATGGCACATGCAACACAAGGGCCACCATGATGTTGGGCCAATAGCTTACCTTGAAGCTTCCTTTTATCTGCCATTACCTCGACGTATCTCTTAATACCACCATAGCTTCGAAACTGCACAACTCCACAATGATCTAGGGTACCTAAACCTTGACAATAGTAGTCTAAAAATTGAAATTTTGCGTTAAAATCGAGTCTGAAGTTGGTCTAAATTGAGTGTTTCTCGGAAGCTTTTTCACCTCACCACCATTGAGGGTATATTATGGACTAGATGACACCTAATGCGCATGTGCAGGGAATCGCCTCGTTGTCGCGTGCACCCCGCGAGGAAGTTCTGTGACAAAACGAACTAAAACATTTTGAAATTTTTAAAACTTTTTCAGTAAGAATTAATAACTGTATAATCCAAGAATTTAAAACTATTCCAAGAAATAAATTTTTCAACAAAATGGAGACAAGTCAAGAATTTACACCATTTTAAAAATAAATTATTCAACCAAATGAAGAGTAGTTTGAGAAATTTTTCAATTCAACAAAAAGATAACAATAGTTTAAAAACAAGTATCTATAATCCAAGAATTCACACCGTTTGAAAAAAAATTTAGATTCTGGCCCTACCGTCCCACCCCTCCCATATTCAAAAATACCTCCTCTTTAAAGTTAACTTAACATGAGCCTCGTATTCATATATTTTTTAGATTTATTTTTCTTTACTAGACTACAATCACCGCAAATCCTAGTTTAGATAAAACCTAGATGAGATAAGATAGGTCACTTGGGCTACCTGTGGTGGCATTGACTAAAAATGCCTCGGTCTAAAATGTCGCTACGGCTTTTTTCAACTTTTCCTCAGTATAGAACTTAAAATGATCATGATTGAATATAATATAAACATCTAGCGTACGCACAGCCAATTTCTCTCGGAATTTTCACTCACTCGTACCAAGAGAAAGAGTCTGTGCTTCTGGGGGGATGTGGTGGGGGGATTTTCAACATGAAGGTGGGGTGACCGCAAATCGGGCGCGGAGGAACTCTACATATCCGGGTTTTGAACTTAGTAAAGAGATACTAAAAAAGAAATGACACTAATTTCGTTGAGAAAAAGTGTGGTTGCCTTGGGTTTTTCTGTTAGTTTTCTAGAGTGGTATATTCCCGATAAATGTGATATGACGCAGACTGATGTCAACTCATCCACTGAATCCAAAGGCTGTTTGCAGGTGTAGTTTTCACAGACGTACGCGGTAGCTTTCCCATCGATTCTCTCAAGATTCTTAAAAACCCAATGTCAAGACGTTAACAAAGTGTTCAACTCATCCACTGAATTGACAGGTTGTTTGCAAGTGTAATTCTCACAGACGTACGCGGTGGCTTTTCCATCGATTCTTTGAAGGTTCTTAAAAATAGCAAGCTTATTCGATAGAAATCCTTCTTGGCCATCACACAGGAGAACAACTTTGTTGGGAATAAAGTGCGAATGAATGCACTTGATAAGCTGTTTCGTGTCATCTCCGTCGCGGTCTCCAGCAATAATTATCTGGAAAAAAATAGGGGAAATTGAGGGGGGAAATCAAGAAATACAAAGCGCGAGTGCGTTATGTGTGCTCTCGTAAAGCACGCGCCTAGACCAATCAGAAAACCAGATTTATGGTGGAAATTTCAAATAATGAAATCATAAACTCCTAATTTCATACCTGTTTTATCCCTGTTCGGTAGATCGTCAGATTTGCAACCAATTCTGGCAAAGCTATAGGAATCTGTGTTAAGATTTTGTCATAGATGGTGAAAATCTTCTCCGCTTTCTTGCGATATTCCTCGCAGTCCACCATGTTTGCGAGTCGTAAGAGGTTGCTCGTGGAAACAGAGTTTGAACTTGGTTCAGCGCCATCTTGCTCTGAGAATTACGTAGAAAAATAACGTAAGTTAAAGAAACAGTAATGATAAAAGGGTAAATTTTACACCGTGAAAAGATTCCTTTTTTCTTGTTTTCACGATGTAAAATTTACCCTTTTATCATTACTGTTTTATTAGAAACACCGACGCAGCGCACACTAGTTTTTAGCTAGTTTATCTCTTCGTAACTTAAAGAAAGTTAAATTCAGTCCAATTTGATCCAAGGTTGAGGTTGTCTCAGATGAAAAAATGTGAAGGATTTGAAGGTTTAAAGGCATAATAATATGAAGTTAAGACAAACTGATTAAAATTCGTATGAAGGAAACTGGCTCGTAATTAACCTACTGCACATGATCGAAAAAAATGGCGGGGAAAATTTTGTCTGTCGCACGTGATCGGAGAAAAAATTCATAGTACTTCAGTGTATCCAATCTTTTGTTATTGTATTTCCCTTAGTCTGTTTAATTTGCAAACAAATATGTTCTAAAGATGAAAACATACGTTTTTTTTTTCGAGAAACGGTTAATGTATTTGGCTCACAGGGCTGTTTCGTGATTTTCCGAGCATGCGCAGTATGACTTTTCTACATCTTTTTTTTTTTTCTACATCACTTTTCTACATAAGCTCGGGCAATCTCTATCTCTGGGTACGAGATTAAAGCTCGTGCATTACCAACCTACCGTCTTTCATTCGAATGAGAATGCTTGAGTCGCCTTCACCCACTGCGAAGTATCCGCCCTTGTTCTTGTCCCAGAACAGCTCGTCTGTTTTTTCCTGTAGTTCAACAGCCCATTTCAGCCATTGCTCGTCTAACGTTGTTTCATACAGATCAAGTAGAGCACGAATCAAGTAGACGTAATCACACGAAAAGCCACTGATTGGGTTCGCTCTGAAAGACGAATATGGACGTATTTTGTTACCCAGGTCTTTCATTATTGTAGAAATTCCTTTGCATCATACTTTTAGCCCCTTCTTTTTGTTCCCTCTCGATTTTGGCCCTTATCGTCTGACTCCCTTCTCGTTTGAGCCCCTTCTAGTTCGACCCCTTTTCGTTTGAACCCCTTCTTCTTTTTATCCCTCTTTTTTGTGTCCTCATGTTTATTCCCTCTTTCGCTTGTGTCCCTTCTCGTTTTTATGCTTTCTTTCTACTGTAACCCTCTCCTTAGCTCCCTGCCCCTTTGCAACGCCGTTCCTTTGTTCCTCCCTTCCGGCTCCCTATACTTTATGTCCATTCTGCCTTTGCCCTCTCAGCTTGGTACCCCTCTCCCTTGAGTCCCCTATTCTTTGTGACCCCCCCCCCCCCTCCCTTCAAAATACTCCAATCTCTTTCCTCTTTCTGTTACCATTTTCCTTACATTTGTGAAACTTCGTTTTCGTTTTCACGGTAACAACTCCTTAGAAGTTCCTTCGTGTCTTTGTCATATAAGTTCTTCCTGATGAAGTCAGCAGCCTTGATGGCTCTTAGGGTGTATACCTCTTCACCAAGGACTTGTCCAGCTCGAGCAAACCCTGATATCATTAGACCTGAAAGAAATATTTATTTTACTTAGTATGAGAAGCAGAGGTGATGTGCACTGAACACACCTCCTGCTAGACTTCCGCAAAGTCCTTCGTCTACATATTTGATCACGCGCGCTGAAAAAAACGCAGGCAGCCCAATATTGGGACACACAAACTGGACGAAGGGTCCATTGCGCTACATTTCGTTGCTCGCTTTCTTTGCTCCTGTAAATCCAAGAGCTCGACTTGAAGTAAGTCTAACTTCCTACTTTAGGTGTGTGTTTTGCAAGAAAAACAAAGCATTCTATCCCATCTGTTTCATCTCTATTTCATTTCTATTTCCCATTTCATTTCATTCCATTTCGTTTCATTCAACTTCTCATATCATATCATCCCATCCCATCCTGTCCCATTCTCTATTTCATCCAATCCCATCCATCCATCCAAATTTCTCACCATTCCATGACGTCACAATCTTATGGTCCAAGTGTGGTGGAGGTCGTTGTTTTCTTTCCTCAAATAGAATTTCTCTCGCTTTGCTGAGCTGTTCTTTGGCTTCGTCTTCCTCTATGTCGAGGCTTTCTGCTGTTTCACTTATGCTGGTGCGTACGATGAGAACGTTTTTCTTGACGAGTTCTTTATGGGGATCCTAAATTAGAAAGAATCACAACTGCGTTATTTATGAGGTGTTATTTACCCATTCAACCATAGCTACATTCATTTATAGATACTGTAAATAAAGATATTTATCAAACCCATCTCATTCTTCATCCATTTATTACTTTTATCCATCTTATCTTCCCATCCTATCCCAACCACTCATCCAACCCTCTTGTCCCTCCATCTTAATTAGTCATCTATCTGTGTCAATCTCTTCCATCCATCCCATTCATTCATTCTGCCTTATGTATTTTTCCCCATTCCATCCATTAATGCATCCATTCCATTTGCGATGTTATCTAACAATGCATATCTATTCCTTCCTTCCTTCCTTCCTTCCTTCCTTCCTTCCTTCCTTCCTTCCTTTCTTTCCTTCCTTCCTTCCTTCCTTCCTTCCTTCCTTCCTTCCTTCCTTCCTTCCTTCCTCCCTCCCTTCCTTCCTTCCTTCCTTCTCTAACCTGGTGTGGTTTGACATTGCCAGCAGTTTCAACTCCATAGTGCTTAATGAACAGGGTCGATAATGGGATTGTGCCTCCTGACTTTGTTGGTACAGTGTCTGACAACAGCTTCTTCAGCTCTTCTTCTTCCCATACACAAAATGCACCTTCCTTCTTGTCCTCTTGGTCATACGAGGGAAGAGAATCTGCATCCTCAGCTGAATAAAAACCACCAAGCTAAAATAAAAACAAAACAAAAAGAAAAACTAAAATTCATACTTTCATTTTTATTAAGATTAAAAATGCCAGGTAGCAATGGTTGAAAGTGAAATATTTGCTTGAGAAAAAGATTATATCCAACCACATGTGAACATTAATTGCCAATCCTTGACTGAAGCAAATATGAGAAAGAATTTACTTCAATTTGACAGACAGCTCAAAATCCTTCAAATTTTCTTGATACTCTGAAACAACCTCTGTGTTGACAGCTCACAGATTGAATTGGAATTTAGCTTGTTAGGTTTTGTGGAGGAAGTAAAACCAGAGAACCAAGACAAAAAGGTTCTAATCAAGGAAGAGATCCAATAAACTCTGCTTGTATGTGATGCTGAGTCAAGGAATTGAAACTGAGAGAGAGGTGAGTGGAGAGTGTACTATAGCTACACCATTCTTTATTCCAATAAAGAAAGACAGAGAGACAAATAAGCAGAGCAAAAGTATTGCTCGTACCTTGTGGCTAAGATCTCTCATAACATAAAGTAGAATATCTCTGAGAGTGTCAGCATACTTGGAGTCTTTGGATGTCTGCAAAAGATCAAACATAAAAATTAAACATTGGGTCTTGTACAGGGGAAGGGGGAGGGGACTCCAGGAAAAAAGTACAGGAGATGCTCGTCGTATCTCTTAGGGGTAGAAATTCGCGATTTGGTATCTTTTAGGGTGTTAAATGCAAATTTTTGAAAATCAGCATTTTCTGATATCTCTTAGGGTGTCAGAAAATGAGAGAAGCGCGCATCGATATGGCTTATCCTAGGCACTTTTTATAGGCCATTCCCGGAGTCCTCCCCCCCGGGTCTTGTGTCCACAATCCAAGAAATAAATTTGTGTACTGGAATTGAGTATTTGCGTGTTGGATGTTTGAATTCGAGTTTTCACTGTGACCAGTCAAAGATTTACATAAAACAGCTGCCAGCAAAAAAGATTTAATTATCATGCAGTTAATTACTAGAAGTTTGTGTAACAATGAAAAAAGTTAGAATATCTTCATGTGAAAGCCATAAAATATTTTCAACAGTTACACAATGATTTTGTTAATTTAATAACTTTACCTGGAAGGCATCAGCATACAAGCAGGCCAGTTGTCCCTGATCATACAACATCTTCTCAAAATGAGGGACATGCCAATATCTATCTGTCGAGTATCTATGGAAACCCTGAAACAGTCAAAGCCCAAGAAACAGATAATCAGCAGAGGTAGAACCAGGAAATTCTCTAAAGGAAAGGGGCAATGCAGTCTTGGAAATATACCATCAAAGACACAGCAATATTTAGAAGAGAATCTCTCAAACAGGGGGTGAGGTATGGGGTCAGAGTTCCCATTAATATGCCCCTGTTTAGGACATTATTGTGCAGAGATATGACATTCTAGTTATCAGATTTCTTACAACTATTTCCAAAGTTATGTAGACAACTCAGTCTAAGATGTTTGGATTTTTGACTTTCATTGATTGGGAAAAAATTACTAACTCAGACTACTAGTACTTTTAATTGACAGGCCAAAGCAAAAAACAAAAAACAAAAACAGATGACTTGAATTATAGCTAGTTGTGGTCACATGATTATGAAAAGGGTGTAACAGTATTGTTGAAGTTATGAATGAGGTGTGACAACCTACCTGGCCGACATGGTCATGTATTCCACCTTTATCTATACAATCTAAGGACTTCAAGCACATGTGCAGAGCTCTTTTGCCATCATTGTCAGATTTCTTGTGTTTGTAGTACTTGAATAGGAAGACAAAATTGGCTTTAAGAATAAAAGAAAATAGAAATCGAATTATAAGTAAGCATTCACCTTTTAATACTGGAACTACAAAAAAAACTAAGAAATCTGGGAAAAACTACCTTGGTAGCTATAGAACCACACTCGTAATTCAATCAAAAGACTGCAGTTCTTTCAAAGATTTCAAGCCTGCAGAAACACTAAAAATACTATTACTGCAGAAGTTCATTTTACCTGGTTGGGGAAATTTAGGTGCACCACCAAAACCACCAAGTTCTTCATCAAAGCTGCTCGATAAGGACTCAAATATCTTGTCACTAACCGCAAGCTCTGGCATTCTACTGGCATTCAATCCAAGGTCATTAACATGTGCCTGGATTGCATTGATAATTATACCACTCTGTTGGCTGAACTTGTCTTTGTGGGTCTTCCACTAAGAATAACAAACCATTATATCTATCCATTAGCTGGGCAGGAAAGAATTTATTAGGAGAAATATTGATTAATAGTAGTCAAGCAATGGCAGTGATACTGATGATGGCGATAATGATGGTGGTACTGGTTATGGTTATAATGATAATGAATGGTGGCGTGATGATAATGATGGTGGTGATGATAATGATGGTGGTGATGATAATGATGGTGGTGATGATAATGATGGTGGTGATGGTAATGGTAATGGTTATAATGATAATGAATGGTGGTGTGATGATAATGATGGTGGTGATGATAATGATGGTGGTGATGGTGGTGATGGTAATGGTGATAATAATGATGGTGGTGTAATAATAATGATGAAGTTGGTGATGATATTGATGATGACATCGATGATGGTAATGGTGATGATGGTGGTGAGTGATGGTGATGGTGATGATGATGGTGATGATGGCAATGATGATAATGATGGTGATGATGGCAATGATGATAATGATGATATTGTTGATGATGATGCCTATAGATGAAAACTTATGATGAAGATAATGGTCCCAACAATGATCATACGTCAATTATGATGCTGATAGTGTATGGAATAATGATGGCGATCGACAAGGATGATGATGATGTCTTACCTTTTCTGAAACATGTGCAAGAATGGTACCAAACCCAGGTCTCCCCTGCATGTCATTAACAGGAAAATATGTTCCGCCCATGAATGGCTTTAAATCAGGTGTCAACCAGATGCTCATAGGCCAGCCGCCTCCGCCCATCATAGCCTGTCAGATACCATAGAAATAAGTACTGTAAGTATAAATCATCCTTATTACTGGAATTCAAAGATTATTTCTGTCTGCATGCTAGGATTTGAGTTTTCACTGCTGTCAAGAAACCAATTCTTGTCTCTCGTATAATTTTGATTGATATGATTTTAACTTTTATTGCAAAATATAATATGAACTATTTTTTGACAGCCCTCCAATAGATCCTTTTAGCTTGGATGTAATATTTTCCTTTTTAAAACCACGTGTCATTGCCTATAGTATCATTTCTTTGTTGAATGGTTGCACATGAGAAGACATAAAAATATGGAAGCAATTCAAACGAAAAATCTTATTCTCACATGATCAACAACACATGGTCTGAATTGGGAAGACATTACATCCAAGGTTAAGAGGATTATTACTAGACTCTTCCACAGTCTCTCACTCGTCCGTTCCGTCTCCACGCTTAGAGACTGTAACGGTACAATGACCGAAAGAACTTATGGGTCCCAAAAACTTGGACCCAGCGTGCTTTGGGAACCAAAATACTCGTCCACAGTCTCTCTCTTTTTCGCCGCCATCTTGAAAATATTGAAACGAGAGAGACTGTGGACGAGTATTTTGGTTCCCAAAGCACGCTGGGTCCAAGTTTTCGGGACCCATAAGTCCTTTCGGTCATTGTACCGTTACAGTCTCTAAGCGTGGAGACGGAACAGACGAGCAAGAGACTGTGGAAGAGTCTAGATTATTACAAGTTACTCAAAAATGGTCCACCCTCAACTTGTCCCTTTCTCTTGTAATCAAGATTATATCTAGTTATAAAAATTTTTCATCTACCTGTATATATGTCATGTAAACTCTATCTACATCTGGTCTTTCTTCTCTGTCCACTTTCACAGGCACAAAGTTTTCATTTAATAATTTCCCGATTTTTTCATCTTCAAACGATTCTCTTTCCATGACATGACACCAATGACATGTAGAATAACCAACTAAGAGTTGAAAACATTAAACATAATATATTATAGGAATAAGAATATATTAAATATAAGTCATGACGACTGTCCAAATTAGTTTTAGCTCGGTCATACCTTGTTTCTGGCATAACGTTACTGGTCAAAATGATGAGCAAGGCAAAAATTTTAACGAACAAGTTCCAATTCTGGGTGCACATTGTCCGATGTCTGGCCGTTATTATCATAAGCCCTGATATAATTTGACAATGTGACTTTTATTCTATATTCAGCAATCAACTGGAATTTTAAAGTTTATTTTTGCAAAGGGAGGAAATTAAAACTGGAGAACCAAGAGAAAAACTCTCAAAGCACAGGAGAGAACTAGCAAGTAACCCTACTCAAATACTATGGTGAGTCTGCGAGGATAAAACCCATTACCACATGGGTTTGATGTGAGAACCAGCGCATCAGCGCACACCAACCTTCCACTATTGCTTCCATTATCCCTAATTAAGGAAGAATATTCAAGGCAGGGGCAGATCCAGGAATTTTAGCAGGGAGGGGGGGGGGACTATTAGAAAGGTTTTTGCCACAAATTCAAGGAAAAGGGGGGTGACTGTTAATAACGATATACTGAGAAATTTGAGCTTAAGGGGGATGACTAGTCACCCCTTTTACCACCCCTGGATCTACCTCTGTAAGGAAATTAATAAACATTACCTGATAAGAAAATGGGTTTGTCTTCTTTCTTAGCTTTTTCAAATGCTTCTTCTCCCCATGGATACCTAAAAAGATTACCAAACTATACAGTTAGAATGGGATTTAGTTCAGTTCAGGAATGAGAAATACAAACAGAGAGGAAACAAGATAAAATGAAAGTATTTCTATGAATCTGAATTACTTGTTTGATTGTTACGAGTCTTTAAGGTTTACCAGGAATTCTTCAAACGGTAAATAAGGAATGATTACTTCACTTCAGGAAGAAAGCTTTAAAACTAGTTTATATTGAGAGAGTTAAATATTAACCTCTTCGCACACTCTAGGAGGCCCTCATAAAGGTACTTCTCAAATTATTCCTTCCTTACTTACCAATCTACAGGATTATGCTTGTGTTGAAGGAGATACGGTGATTTTTCCTTCGCAAGTCTGTTTGTAAACTTGGGTTTATTTGTTGAACCAGAAGCCATTGCACGAGTTTGAATCGAACTGCGCGACAATATGCAAAATCTAGACGAAAATTGCTGAAGATTTCTCGGTGAGGAAGGACTTGAAGAGAAAGAGGGATATAATTTTGAAGATCGGCGAAGAAAAAGTGAGGGAAAATAGCTGAAAGATTTGACAGAAGTCATACAAGAAACACAAAACTTCAAAGACGCTTCGAGTCAAATGGGGTAAGACTGCTGACACAAAGGGTGTGGTACATGTCACGTAAGTATTGCGTTACATTTCCCTGTCACAAAAGATTTTCCTCAGTTAATTTTTCTCTTTCTTTCTTTCTTTTTTTCCTTCCTTCTTTCTTTCTTTCTTTTTTTTCTTTCTTTCTTTCTTCCTTTCTTTCTCCTTATATTCATTTATGTCAACATGAGAGTTTTCCTATCCTAATCTTCCTTTCTTTCTTTCTTTCTTTCTTTCTTNCTTTCTTTCTTTCTTTCTTTCTTTCTTTCTTTCTTTCTTCGTTTTTTATATATTTATTAAGTTTAAAATATATATAAGATACATCCCCACTCATTTTGATCAGCATATTAGCACTATAAGTCGAATAAATGTTAATAAACACATACATCTATTTACGAGAAGCCAGTAGGAAATTAGCCGATACTAGTGCGCATGTCACTCTAAAATCTACGCACTCTATGATCGAATATGCACACAAATGACTGCGTCAAACAAAAACAAAAAAAACTTGCCATAAATGATATTGGCTCCACTGATGTATATATTTATTTACACAGCAAAACTTTCCCACTTAAATAAAGCAGCCTGACTAGATCTCATCTATTACGAATCTCCGCCCATTCTCTTAAATATAGTAAAGACTCATTTTTTCAATTTTTCTCCTCACACGAAAGAGATTCCACTCACAGCTGTAATCCTCTTCGATCAAATTGGAAGTTTATTACTGTTTTCGTAAAGTTTTCTCAAATATGAAATATCATTGAAATCGCAAAGCTCTAAAATGTTTTCCCATTTTAGACCACGTAGCACTCTCTTGGGAATAAGATTCATGTGTCTTCATGTACAATCGTTCGACAAAAAGATAATACTCAAGGGAATGACATGTGGACTGAAGAGGAAAAACATTATGCCTATTTGAAAAGATCTAACGTCGACAACAGGCTCGATCTTTAGTACTTTTTCTTTCTGCATCTTTTATTACTTCGAATATAAATTAATTACCGTTTTCATGACGTCAGGTTTCTAAAAATAATAAATTATATATATATTAGAAATCCAATCTTCAGCAGTTTATTTTCGACAACTTTGTCAGTTTACAAGTTTTTCTTTCAGTGTTGTCTCTTTTATTCCTGATTACAGCAGAACGAATAGTATACTTTTCCAATTTGATCATAATTTATCTAAAGATAATGAGCAAAATACAGTCAAAAAGTAAATCGATGAGAAGGGTTCTGACGTATAAGGCGGTCATAAAATAATTCACTTTGGTGATGGCACGTTTCTTCGAGTGGGGAAAAACTTATTACAGCAAATGACTTTTGTCGCTTCTCTAGTGGTTTTGTGCCTCATACAAAGTAATCACACTAACTGATCAAAAATTTTCCTTGATTTTTCTCGTTAATTTAAGTCGTCGGTCAAAGTCGTAAATACCTCCTTAGTTCTATTATGTTCTGTTTTTGAATATCATTATCAATATCCGGATATTTGCACAGTAGCAACTTCTAGACAAGAGGTTTCTGTTGATTCGGGGGAATAAAAATATTATAAAAGACCGAAGCGGTTCATTAGTAGTTAAACTAGAATTAGAAGTCCCCAGTGCTCTTCTTCGACAATTAAGCTCGAAGGCCTATGTTCAGTACGTTTTATTCACTCAGACTTGCGCCTTTTTTACATGATAATTTTTGAAATACATTTTTAACCAAGCAGGAATTAATTTACTAAGGAGTACTATATTATCCCATATGGTCTTGTATAAAATTCAAAAAATCATTATATTTTCACCCCTTATGTTTTGTGTGGACAAAGTTTTTTGCGTGCTGTTACCAAGGTAACAAGTCGATTGACCTGTATAGACTTCTCAGTCACCTGCCTCGATTTACATACAAAGATGATAAACATGACGTCCCCCACAGAAGGTCGAATACTAATCGAGTTTTATAATGTATACGTTTTCATGACTACAATACTTGTTTTATAGGCAAGTGAGACAAGCTAGAATACTCAATGCAAAACCCAGTTCAAAAAGATGCGGCATTCGCTGAACGATTGAGACGCCTTGAATTCAATAAAACAAGTCCAATGGCACAGCCCCCGTGGGCTAAGGAACCTGACATTTCAGCTTCTTCTCGGAGAAGGTAAAAGTCAACTTTGAAATATTCCATGGTATTCTGATAAATTCTACATAGCGAATGCTCTCATTTTCAACTGAAGAATTCTACTAGCAATTTCCATCAAAACCAAGAGTTTAAAGCTGTGAAAGAGTAATATTGATTAAATTGAAAAAATTAACTTTCTAATCATTAAAACCTGGAGTATTTGAACTATCTTTTTCAGCTTTTCCGGCCATCGATACAATAACGGGTATTAAGAAAGATCGATCAAATATTTTTCGCAAACTGATATTTAGTTCAGTTTCTGACTTCGGGGAAAAATGACAAAAACTTTGAATTTAGAGAGATAGTTATATGAAAACGAATTCAACAGATTTTTGGTAGGACTTGAATTCATCGTTTTTTTCCAATAACAATTCCGCAGAAAACAAAGACAGATTCCGGAAAGAGGCTATGGGGATTTGCTCTAGGGGGTGAAGACAATCTATTCTAGAATCTAGAGAATTTTAAAGGAAACCCCTGCACTTCTAAAAACTAAAGTGTTAGGTCTTAGAAATATAAGAATTGCAAAATTTATACAGAATTTTAAGACAACGTTATATTAGAATTGTATCATTCAATTTATTTTAACACGATTATTATGGGGTTTTTTCGCACAACTTCAAACGCTATATTATTGTTACAATCTGATTTGAGTTTTTAACGAAACTTAGATGAAAAAGTTATCGCTATTGAATCAAAATTTTACCAAATAAACTCCAAAATGTATAGAATATTTCTCCATATTCAGGCTTTTATCTTCTGTGTCAACACACCGGTCGAAATGTTCATGATCTATAATAAATTCTGTACATAAAAAATAGCCATTTTTTCCATAATTACAAGTTTCCTAGTTACCGATATTTATGCTAGTGCGAAAATGCAACTTAAAATAATGATCTGGCTAGAATTTCTTTGTTTTGAATCTTATTTTCCTGAAATCAAGATAGAAAAGCTCTAAGAAAATACTAATAAATGAGCAATATTGTAGAAAGCAATCTCTTGAAAATACCGATTACCTGTGCACATAGACTTTATATGTCATAAGTTTGTTGACTTACAACGAAGGTAGGATCCAAGAGCCTAATAACGTCACACCATGAAGTTGGAATTAGAAATGTCTCATTCGAAAGTGCTAGGTCTTCAATTTTTCTGCTTATATTTTCCCCTCTTTACTTATAATGAAAATTACTTTTGTTCCTTTGTTCAACTTGATTCTTTTTAGTGTTCTTTTACAATATATAAATTTTACCGTTCTCATTCGCTTTCTAGTCGCATCCTTTCCTTGCGTAATTCCATCTTGCTTTACATAAGTTGGACATTCATGAACGTTCGTCTTAATGAATACGACATTTCAGACACTAAAGAACGCCTTAGAAATAATGCACAACGTTATTTAACTTTCTTCTTTGACAAAATTCTGTAAGGCTACATGATAAAATTCGTCAAAATTCCATGCATCTTCCCACGACATTGCCTGTTGAAAATCTAGAATTTCTTTCGGTTTCTTGAATTTTTTAATAATACAATGTTCTTCCCGGCAAACGACGGAATCATGCAATTAACGACTACCTTTAATCAGACGTTTTGTAGAAATTATTTAACGAAATCATTCGAAAATCACGAAGAAACTGAAGAAATTATACGTTGAATTAAATTTTCTTCCTAAGGTAAGAAAATATAGTGCTAATTTATGCCCCAGAATTGGATAATCTTTTCAACTACCTTTTCATAATCTGAAATCGATATATACAAACTTGAATATTCATCCGTCGGGATTGAAACAAAATTGAAATAGAAATCTGACTTGGAAACTATGTAATCAAATACCTTTTGTTTGAGACCTAAATTAACAAATTATCCGTAAAGTTGCTTTTATAAATGACAAGTATTTTCAAATGATTTTTAGAATTCAAAGAAGCTCTTTAGTCATTGTTTATTTTGGCACAAATTTTCCTTCAAAACTTGAAGTATTTCCTGTTGTCTTCTCAGTGTTTTTGGCGACACGGTGTTGCTGAATGTGAAGTCTTTTAAAGGAAGATTATTCAACTGCGCAAACAAAGGATTTCTGTGTCAATCTACACTTGTAAAAATGGAGCGTTTTCCACTTCTAGTTAAAATGCGAACTTGAGATGCACAATTAGGACTTGACGGATATCCAATAGTTTTCGTTTACCCAGTTGGTCAGAAAAAAAGTATTTTTTGAGAGTAACGCGGAGTCAGAAAGTGTCATATGAAAAAGAAAAAGACGAAGAAAACATAACGAGCCAATTAGAAACCCGTGAGGGGAGTGTGGAGTATTGGGATCTATTGAGAGGCTTTCAAGAACTAGCTCTTTTATTGAGGTGGAAAACCTGTTATAAGTGCTGAGGAATATCGATACGAGCCACCGGTAATGACGAAAGCCTACAAGATGAAAGTGAGCTGTAAAATCAGAGAGGACATATATATTTTTCAGAAAATATCTGGAAAATAAGTAAAGGGCGGGAAATACTATAAAAGAAGAAGAAGAAAAGAAAAGAAAAGAAAAGGGATAAATAGGAAAGGAAAGGAATGAAATGGGATGAAAAGGGATGAAAACGAAAAGAAAGGAAAAACAAAGGGAAATTTAAAGGTTGGAAGAGCAGAGCAGAGCAGAGCAGATATAAGAGAGTCCGAAGTGCTTTGCCTTCACAAGTTCCGTGACAGACCTTAAGGACATCTGCGTAGGAGACTCGAGAAGCGGTTGAAATAGCCGAGAGCTGAATAGATATGCATACATTTTCAACCGATGCGCACATATATTTTTTAATCACACGCTCCCCGCAGCCTCGTCATCAGCCATCTTATCAACCAATCAAATCAATTCCCGCTCAAAGCAAACAAAGATGGCGGCTCTTCTTGTCTTGTTTAGTTTTTAAACGGAAACCTCTCGAAATACCAATTACTCCTTTGTCAAAAAGGCGTAGAACGGTTTTCAATCCAAAACAATGATGCTAAAAGTTATATTCTGAAAGTATTATGATAAGGTGAGGATTCTAAGTGTGTTTTAAAAGACTTTTTTAAATCTTAGTTGAAGTTTGTTGATGTGGGTCGTCATGGAGTTCTTGAACAGCTGAATTAATAATCTTACTAGAAAACCACTAAAACACAAGCTATTCTCTCGTAATTTCACATTTGAAATGACAAGAATCAATATCGATATCTTATTAGCTGATGTTGTGGGACTTGAAGCAGAAAAATCGTAATAAGACGTCAACTTTTTAAGTTTAATATTTAAGTAGAGAATCAAGTTGATAAATTTTTAATGTATTTAAAACTTGTTTAGTCGTAGTATATTTGAAAGTTCGTGTATTTTTGTAGGATTTGAAAAATGATTAATAACACTCTAAACTAATAAATATCGATATTACTTTTTGTAATAACATCTAAAGTAAGTTATTTGTATCGTAAGCTTATATTAGTTATGATTTTAAGTTATAAGCTTACTTTATATAATATGCTGGGCCCAATATACTAAGCTAAAAATAAACTATTCTATTAAAACTAATGTTTATTAAAATCTATTGTATTAACATTTGAATTATAAAGTGAAGGAGAAAGAGTTAGCAATTTCTCTATATTTCATTTTTAGTCCAATAAGCTTACTGTAATGAAGCCCAAAAATTTAAAATAAAATTTATATAAGGCTGCGTTCATAATGTATGGCAGGGGGGGGGGGGGGGGGGGGGGGCAGGTGAAAATTCGAAATGTCCAGAATAATTCTTAAGACCCCCCTTAAAGTCGTGCAAAAAAAATACGATCCCTCTGAAGTAAGGCTTGTAGCTTCTTCCAACAATTGTGCATCCCACCATTTTTCTGATAAAAATCTGCCCATCCCCCCTTTTTCCTACCAAAATTTTCCCAATACTCCATCAATTTCACCTGCCCCCCCCTCTGCCATACATTATGAATGCAGCCTTATTTAAATCTTATTTTAAATTTTTGGGCTTCATTACACACAACACATTCAAAGATTAATTTGAATTAGTTAGCCCCTTATATAACCACTTCATTATCTCATGATATTATCATAAATGATGTATGTCAGGCAGACTTCTTCACACAGGAAATCAAAACCAACTTTTTTGTCATGCATTAGTTTCAGCATACAAATGGAGAATTCTTTTGATTCTTTTCTTACTGGTTTTCATTGCTTCTATGATGATTATGTGTAGCTTCTTTTATAAATGTGCTGATACAATTTTATCAGTGATTGGAAAACAACTTTCTTCAGCTCTTTTATGTTTGTTCAATAAAGAAAATAAATAACAATAATCAAGCATAAGAGGTATAGAGTCATGTTACATAACTGAATTTTGAGTTTGAAAGGTACACACAATAAATATTTTCAACCATAAAAAAAAAACGCTGATCACCCCTACCACTTGGACCTCTCCCCCCCCCCCCCCCCCCCCCCCCCCCCAGCCTACGTAGTGTCAGAGATAGTGAACAAATAAAGTGTGCACATATTTGGTGTTAACTCTTATATAGCGCACATCCTGAACCAAATGAAGAGTATAACTATTTTATAACTATTATTGTGTAATCACTAATGGTAGTTTTTTAAAAATGATTTCAGACCAATGAACAATCCAACGAATCTACCAGCCCTTCCAGGGACTACCGACAGAAGAAACAGCCCACCTGTGTCCACTGAAGGAAACAGGCTGCGAAAATTAGAGGGAAGAATCAGTCTAAGTGAACAGTCCAACAGAGCTCTTCTTGAAGAAATTGTAAGACTACAAGGTGAACTCAAAAACAGTGTGCGACGAAATGAAGAAACATTACGGGATGAAAAGGAACATAGACAAGTTTTATCTGAGAAAATTCGAGCAGCTAACAATCTTTATACCCAACTAATGATGAGACTAGCTCGAACAGAAGAAAAGCTTGATTCTGAACACAGTGCCGTTGGGTCACTTGTTAACCATACGAAACATGTTGAACAGACTTTAATGGGTAACCAGCAGCAGTTACTTAATCGGCGAGAACAGGTTCACGTTCGGATTGAACGCATTAAAGAAGACTTGGAAGATTTACAGGATACTTATGAACAGTCGCAGAAAAACATGAGGGCCATGAGCGAAGATGTTAGAAACACTAAAAGTAAATTAGAGGTGCAAACCGTTCAGTTTGGGACTATGGTGCAGGAGTTGCGACAACGCATGAAGAAGATAGAAAATGATTCTCAGTCAGCTGTAAGTTTGTTACTGCATTTCTCAATATTCTATGATCTCAGACATTTCAAGCGCTCGTTGTCAAATTGTATTATTTTTGTTGCTATCAATAATTAAAAATGACAAATCTTCAAAGCCAAGACTGAATGCAAATTGCCATGACTTGATGGACCAATTGAGAGTGAAATAGCAACATGCCATGCTGAACAGAAGTCTGAAATTCATTTGCATTTAGGTTTAGTTTGAAAGATTACATCATTTTGATTGATAGCAGCAAATTTCGCAACAAGCCATTGAAATATCTGAGTTTACAGAAAATTGAAAATCGCTGTAATTCAGAACTTTCATCTACAATCTTGACACCTTCCAAACGTCTGGATTTTGGCTCTTTTTTTATGAAATCAGTGTAAGATCTGTTGAGATAATTAGTAGTTGCTATTTATTGATATAATTCAGATGGATTACCTTAGAAAAGAGACTGACAGTCGAGGAGTTATGGAAGTAAGCACGGCACAGCTTAAGAACACTATTGAATTAAGGTATGTCCATTTTTAAATATTTTATACAGATAAATAAATCAGAACTTACATTAAACATAATTAATTTTGCGTCAGTTATAAAGGGAGTGATTGGTCTCTGTAGCCAAGGGCTCATAAAATAAATAAAAAATAAATTAACTTTGTTTATAGAGGATAACACTTGATAGTAATTCAACTGATAAACTTGTGGTCCTCTGTTAACGTCTCTAGTTAATTAGGGACAGGACCTCCATTAATGTGATCATCCGAGCCACGTGAAGGTCTAACCATTTGCAGATGTAATTACAAAGGCAGCACCTTCTCCTCAGTTATGTCAAGACCCTGAGTGTTGGTCCGGCCAAGGCTTGAACCACGATCTCCAACACTAAAGCCTGATGCTCTTACCAACTGAGCTAACCGGGTGGTGGTGATATTTAACCTAGATGGAGTTTGAATTTAGAATTTGATTTTTGCGGAGGGAGGGAGGGAAACCAGAGAACCTGAAGAAAAACCTGGATTTATTGAAACTAGAATACCTTTATCTTAAAAAACAGATAATAAATCTAATAAATATTGCTTTAAAGATTATCAGAGATAAAAGAAACAGTTGGTGAACTTAGAAGGCGATTAGAGCTGGAAGAATCAGAGAGAAGGTCTGCTTCACAGCAAGCTTTGCTGAGGTAGGAGTAAAACTAAGATTATATTTTTCTAAACACATGATATGGACTGTGAATAGGGTTTATCAGATAAATATGGATTATTATAGCCATGTTGCCAATATTGGGTCGTTATTCCATGATTGTGACATCAAGAAATAGGTATGATTCATATTTACTCTGGACTGATCAAATTCAGGGCATGGTTCTCAGATATTTGAAGAGGGAGAAAATCGGGAGAAACTAGGAAAAACCCTAGATTCCAGGTAAAATTCTACTCACACATGATGATTGAGTCTAGGAATTGAACATAAGGTGGTGAGAGGCAAGTGTATGACTCATGACGCCATTGATTTTCATACTTCCTTTCTTGTTATCAATCCAGCATTGAACAACTTAAAACCATGATTCAAGAAGTGGACCACAAAAGAGAAGAGGACACTCAAAATACCTCCATGTTAAGCAGAGATAAGGAAAGTATGATGATGTCTGAGAGAAGTCAAATAGCTAACAGGATGGCTGAGCTGACAGAGGAACAAAACAAGAAGCTGATTCAGAAGGAAATTAGACTAAGAGAAGAAGCACAATCGAAATTCTTGGCCATGGAAAAGGTAAGGTTTGAATTCTTATTTCCCATTTTTCCTATTCCTTCTTTCCTAGCTTCATTCCTCCCCTTCCCTTTCCTCCTTTCTTATTTCATGTGTCTTCTTTCCTTTCACCTCTATCTGTCCATCCATCCATCCACCCATACTTGCCTCTTTCCTTACATCCATCCATCTTTCCTTCTTTAATTCCATTGATTTGTCATTATCTTCTTCTTTCTCCTTCTTCTCTTCCATCCATCCATCCATTCTTCCTTCGTTTCTTTCCATTAATCATTATTTTCTCTTTCTCTCTGTAATTTTCTTATCAATTCGTATTACTTTCCTTCAGAAATTTAGAGAAGAGCAGGGGTCTAGACTCAACTTTGAAAAAGCACTAAGAGAAGAGATAGAACGAAGATGGCAGTCTCTTAAGTCTTACCTTGATGAAGAAGTACAGACAGTCAAAGGAGGAGGCAAGGTCTGTATCCTGTCTTGAAAGATAAATGAACCAATGATGGATAAATGTATGTATTGGGGTGGGGGGGGGGGGGGGGGGTGGGGGGGGGAATTATAGAACTAAAAAATATTATTTTTGGAACGAAACATTTTGGATTGGATGGATGCATGGATGGATGCATGGATGGATGCATGGATGGATGCATGGATGGATGCATGGATAATATTTATATTTAGTTTTTCTTTAATAACTATTTGACATGTTGAATTTGATGTTGTATTTTACAGATGAGCCAAGTTAAAACAGATCAGAGTCTTGTGCGACTAAATGAAGCCATCTCTCTCCTTGAAAGACAAATGGAAGAAGGAAGAAAGGCAGTTGAGCAAGTACTACATGCAGAAATAACTTCCAGGTACCAAGCTTGTACCCTTTTAGATGATTTAGTCATCAATAAATTATATCTTTTAATCATTTCATTGATTTGTCCCATTTTACGTTCACTTCTCTATCGCCACGTAAAAAAATTCCATTCTCTTCTGTCTTATATCATCCCATTTTCTCATATCTCACTCATTTTTCCACTTTCTTTATCATCTCATTTGTCTAACTAAGTTATCGTTTTGTCCCAGTGTTTTGCAAAAGCTGGAGATAAAACTGAAGACTTAAATTTTCCTTCTTAAACAGACAATCTCAGCATGAGAAGCTTGCCTCCAAACTAACCCAGATGCAAGAGAAGCTGGATCTTGCTATTAGTACTCTGCAACAAGCTGTTGGGGGAATTAACACTCGTCTGGATGAGGACGTCAAAAAGGTGCACATTATTTTCTTCTTGCAAGTAATAATGTTGAAAATGATGATCTGATGATGGTGATGAACATGATGATTAGATGTTGATAAAAGAAATGATGATGATGATAATGATGGTAGTAAAGATTATTTAAGTGATGATGTTCATTATAGTGATGGTGATGATGATGATAATGATGATGATGATGTTAACAAAGATGTTGTTGATAATGATGATGATGATAATGATGATAATGATAGTGACTATATTGAAATAATGGTGGTGTTGTTGATAATGTCAATGATATCATTGATGATGATGGTGATGTTGATGATGATGAGTTTTGATGATGAAAATGTTGGTAATGTTGATGATGATGATGCTGTTAGTGATGATACCAATGTCTTTCCTACAAACCATGATAATAGAATAACATTCATTATCGTGTATCTTGAACTCTTAACCTTGGCATTTTAGGCAAAAGAGGAACTCAAATCTCTGATAGATCAGAGTAGTAATACAGGAGTAAAAGGAATGGCAGACATGGACTCCAGGATTGGTAAAATAAACAAAAAAGTGATTGATCTAGAAGACGCAATTGAGAGAATAGACAAGGTGAGTAACACAAAATAATACATCACATCTGGATTTCAGAATACAACATGAAAACCTAAAATACAATATAATAAATGCATGCCTTGGAGACCCCAAAAAAAATGTCCTTTTTTTCACGAGGGTAGCACTTAATTGCCAGTGGCTAACAAACCTGTGGCCCTCATTGCGTGATTGAATTGGAATTTAGGATTTGATTTTTGCGGAGGGAGGAAAACCGGAGAACCCAGAAAACCCTGCCACCCATGCTTCCCTCCTCTCTCTATGTTCCTCACACTGTTTTCTTCTTCTGGTCATATTCTTCACAAACGACGCATATCAAATACCTCCATTTCTGTCTTTTGTCAACATCAGTCCTTCAATGATATAAAGAATAAAAAGTCATAGTTAAATAGAATTTTTCCTAAATATTTTTATCAATAAAAATAAAATGACATTATTTCCCCCTTTTTGAATTATTAATACAGAGGATCAAAGAACCTCCGATAATACAGGTACATAATAAGAATATAAATAAATAAAATTCTTCAAAATAAACTATTATTTAAATAGTATGTAAAGTCAAGCATGAAACGGGATATATAATTCTGTTAAACTGATTAATAGACCATTTCATGGATCCCATTACTCAACCTCAGCCTCGTCAGCGTGTAATTATTCTTTAAAATTTGACTACAGTCTGCGGTTATGAAAGGAATTTACATATCAACAAACAATTGAAACACTCAAAAATTTCACAGGTTGTAGGCAATTTCTAAAAAATATATTACRCGCTGACGAGGCTGAGGTTGAGCTGCGGGATCTGTGAAATGGTGTATTAAGAATAAAATCCAAATATTTATGCATAAAACATAAATAATTTACATCAAATAATAATTTGTTTTATTTTCGTAGTCACTGTTGACATAACGAAAGATGTTTTGCATCTACCAACAAACTGTAGTACCAAAACATTAATCTAAAAAAGAAAATATTAAAAAATCATATCATAATTTGTAAAATTGCTACATATTAAAAATTTTAATTTTGTTAAAATTAAAAAGAAAAAATAATCAGCATATCTTTATGAACCTATTTCTTATTTTTTGCTGACATACATTTTCTATGACTCACTTGAAAAAGGTTACTTCCACTGGTGAAGATAACAGTTCGAAAGCAGAGGAAAATATAGCAAGATGGAAGCGTGAAACAGAAGAAAGATTCTATGAAGTTGACAAGAAGATAAAGCCTTTGCCAGATGAGGTAATAAATGGTCAGGAATGAAATATTGTTCTGATAACATGGAAAAGATTGGTGTGTATAACTTTCCCCCTCCCCATCAACTGCCACACCCACCCTCCTTCTCTTTGCACTATCCTAAATGATAGTACTTATCTTTTATGCTTTAGTTTTTCAATTTGATTCACTTGTCTTTTATTATGAATGTGGGAAAAAATTGTGTTAAATTAGATATCTTGTGTACAGAATGAAACATTCTTTTCTCCTCCCCTCGCTTCCTTCATTGTGTGAAAAAAATCAAACAGGAATTAGAAACTTCACTAAATTATATGTAGAACATCTTCATTGAATTGTTTGTTGGTTTTTGGTTGCAGATGAATCAAATGCAGTCAGAACTGAAAGCTCTGAGGGAGGGGTTCAAAGCTTTGGCTGAAGAAATGTTAAGAGTTCCAACGTAAGTGTCTATCAAGGACAATTTGAACTTCCAAGGGGTGGGGAGGATCTGAGGAGCAGGGTGTATCTCATAGTACCAAATATCCATACCTCCCCCATGGAGAGTGAATGGAATTGGTTAGAAGGGGTCTGAGGGTACCGTATGTTGCGAAAATGTTGCAGAAAACATCCATACTTCCCTCATAGAGGGAGATTTGAATCTAGGGGTGGGGAGGTTCTGCACAAGAGAATTTAGAAATAGCACCAACGAGGGATTTTACCATAAATGTTGATGTTTTCCTTCAGTCCCAGGCAAGTCACACCAGAGACAAGAGTACCAACCCCTCCACCACCCAGAACAGCAACACCCAGGACACAAACACCCAGGACACCCAAAACAAAGACACCTGTACCCAAATCACCTGAACCAAGTGAATCTGACATAGTTGAAATGAAAGAACGGATGCAGAAACTAGAGGACACTGTATCAGAGGTATAGACTGGGCTCTCGGCCGGGGGTGGGGGAGATACTTTAAATAAAATTATGTTCTAAGGGGAAGAGTTCAGAAATTTGGACCATGTATAACTATTTTCCTTAACTCTCCCCTCCCCCAAAATTACATATTACCCTCCCTCCCCCCTTCCCATCCTTACACCAAAAAATGCTATGCTGAACATATTACCAAAATTAAAGTTTTTAAAATGTTCAGTGCTTTTTGGATGATGCTTATCAAACTCATGAATAATTCATGAAGGAAACAATAAGGATCAATTATAGATTTGTCCTCATTTTTATAAACTTGAACCTCGATTTTCTTAGCCCATAATGATCTATATCTAGAAATTCTGGTGAAACATGATATTTTGCAACTAGATGTTTGATAAGTAATATAAAGAACTGTAGTCCCTGTTATATTGGAGCTTAAGACCCCACAGCCTCTTGTTCTTTATATATTACTTATAAGTTGTCTTGTCTGTTTTACAGCAAAATTCCCAAGTGAGTAAACTAGAGAGTACGGTGGAAACCTTACGCATGGTTCTGTCACAGAAGATACTGTCAGAGGCACAAACTGTAAGTACTTTTGATAGCAACATCCATATAGTCTTTTCATTGTATATAGTCATAAATGGTATTACAAACATGGACATATCATGGAATGTTGACAGCATGAAACAGGAGAGATTGCTTTGTGCATTCACCCCTGCTACATATTGCTTGTGACATTGGTTGCAACATTGCTTGTGACATCACTGAAAGTAGAGGGAAGTTAAATGTTGCAGGGGTTGGATGCACTGTACTTTATTCTTTGCAATCTATATCTCAAGCAAGGTATTTCTTGTGTGCCCATGTCTTGAAAAGTATAATATTATAGTACATGGAGAAGGTTTCTTCCTGCCAGTATTAGCTACATATATTTTAAGATATATATACAGGTATATTATTATGATAAATATTGTTATATTATTTTATTACTGTTATTATGTAGTGCAAGCAAAATGGGAATTCTTAATATAGAAGTTTTATCTGTATAATATAATTTTTAAGTAGGTTGCAAATGAAGATGAAATACAAAAGAAAAAATTCGAAGAAATTTAGCTACTGGTGTAGCAGTTTAACTAGGCTCACATTTCCAGGCATCAGGTTTCGTGTGCCCAAACACAGGTATACCAAACCAGACGGCTGGAAATTGTACCCGTGCTAGACCAGAATGCAATATTTTTAGTATTTCCTGAGTTAAAAACAATTGGTGCATTCTGGTCTAGTTTGGACTCAAATATTTTATTGAACTATATGCTATTGAATGAGGACCAAAGGTTTGTAGCAACTATAAAAGTGTTACCTTCTAAACAACCCAAAATAGTCCAGAATGCACCTTGTTCATTCTTTTCTGAGATAGAAAGCCTAGTGCATTCTGGTCTAGTTTGGGTATAAAAATCTTTTGTTATACTTTGTTAAGTGTTAGTGTTACCCATGCTAGACCAGAATGCACTGAGCTTTCTATATTAGTAAAGAACAAGGTGCATTCTGGTCTAGTTTAGGTACAATTATCTTTTGTCATACTTCATTAAGCGTCATTGGTACCCATGCTATACCAAAATGTATTTAACATTGTCATTTTTTATATAGTTATTTATATTACCATGTTGTACTGAAAACTTTCGTTTTGAAATGGCCATTTACTAATAATATTTATTAGAGATTATCAAAACCGAAGGGATAATTATTTATTGGTAAAATGTTACATGGATAGAGATACTTGAAGGAGTTATCTGATATATATCTAAGTTTGGATTATATCATAGTATTAGGCATTTAGTTCTAATGCTTTTCAGTACTGATTGGTTGTGCTTTGATACCCCAAACAGCGTGATGATTCTGTTAATCAGCTGAAGGACCAATTAGAAAAGATAAAGTCTATTGCGTCAAGTAATGTTGCCTCTGGTAATCTTTCTTCTATCTGTCTGACTATGATTCCTCTCCATAGCTGTCTGTCTGTCTGTCTGTGATCCCTCTCCATAGCTGTCTGTCTGTCTGTCTGTGATCCCTCTCCATAGCTGTCTGTCTGTCTGTCTGTGATCCCTCTCCATAGCTATCTGTCTGTCTGTCTGTGATCCCTCTCCATAGCTGTCTGTCTGTATGTCTGTGATCCCTCTCCATAGCTGTCTGTCTGTCTTTGATCCCTCTCTAGCTGTCTGTCTGTGTATATCTATGGGTGTAATGTACTCATCTATCTGCTTATATTGGTCTGTTTATCTGTACATCTGTTAATGATCTGCCTTTTGTGTGATTCTCTTTGTTTTTGTCAAACCTATGTAGCTGTCAGCCTACTTGTGTCCTTCTGTCTGTCCACTTTCTGTAATTTTCTGTCTGTCTGTCTGTCTGCTTTCCTGTTCAGTGTTTGTTAGTCTTACTAAACGTCTTTGTTTGTTCACTGTCTGTCTTACCCTTTTTTAAAAAAACAACAAATCTGTGTACCTTATTTGAATCCCATCTATGTAACTTTGAACTTCTCTCACCACTTTTGACTCTTTTTCATTCTCTCTTTCATCCACTTTTCCCACTTGCATAAAATAAACATAACTGAAACATTTGTACTAAAAAAACTAAAATGCACAAACATGCTGAACTAGTTACTGCATTGACTACTAAACACCAGTAAAAACTGCAAAACATAGCAAATGTTAAGCTAAAACTAAGTTATGAAATTCTTTAACTTTCAAATATAAAGGTTTCTATTCAATCTGGTCTTAATGTAATACTCCATTTTACAGTCCCATTCAGTGACCATGAATAATAGTTCTTAGCCGGGGCTGGAGTTACCGCACATGATAAGCTGTAGTTTTGCAGTGCGTGGAAACTCCAGCCTCGGCTAGGAACTATTATTTGTGGTCACTGAACGGAACTGTGAAATAGAGTTTTGAGTTTAGCCCAAGAAAATTTCCTTCATAAATATCTGTGATCAACGTAAAAGACAAATTAATTTTCTTTAAGTTGTAAATATATTCCTAAATTTAAATAACAAAAGTCTTTAATATTGATTTCAATTGTTGATATCATGATTGTGCTTCACAATACGATAAAGAAAAGCGTACTGCGCATGCCTAGAACATTGACGGGGAAATCTGGTTCATATGACGTCATCGCTGCCAATTTGGAAGAACTTCACAAAAGATTTGAGTATGGGAGACAAAAATCTTGTATATTTTTTTTCCTTTTTTCTTTTGAAAATGCTTGTGATTACTCTTCGTTCGTGCGCAGTACTTTTCTTAGCCGTTCTAAGTCGAAACGTTGAGTAAAGTTGTCGCCATAAACTTTATAAACAGATGTTTTTAAACGAAAGGTTTACTTCTTAGCCTAATTATAGATTATCTGTCATCGTTTTATACCTTAGATAATGTAGATATTATTCTAAGAAATTTCTATTTCATTAACTCTACATTGAATAGAATTTAAAACCATTTAAATATGTAAATATTATTTTAAAAAGATTATGTTTGGGAGTAAGGAGGGAGAGAGAGATTTGACGCCATAATACCATGCCCACGAATGATCGTGGGCGTGTCGGGAATAAACCGATAATACCTCGGGAATACTAAATGACAACTGAATGACAGTGACGAAAAATAAATAGCTTAAAACTGTCACGACACAACCTGCTCCTCTTGGGCGTGTCGGAAGTAAACGATACTAAATCGGAAATACACGCAGAGATGACTGCGTTTGAATACTGACCAACTGAATGACAATGAAAATTAAACTTAAAACCCACGTCAGAACACACCATTTCCATACCTTTTTCCTCATTGGCAGTTGCATTCCTTTCGATTTGTTATTGTGAAGTGGTCACAGGTGAACAGGGTAAAGGGGTGCAGAAGGGGGGAAGACGTTTTGAGCCCCTCCCTAAAAAAGTTGGGTTATGCCGAAAGAAAAAAAAAAACTTAATGAACTAAAAAGAAGGAATACACAAATTTGTTGGTATAGCAAAAAGTAGGGACAGAATATTCCTTATTAAAGTATGGGAGAATTACATGATTTTCACTTAGCCTGTTCAAACAGTTTGAATTGAAGTTTTATTAACACATGACTCATAGTTTATACAAGGTATAATAAGGTGGGTTACATTATATCAAAAATTATAATCGGCACCTCCACCCCTTCTCTGCTAATTTGTGACCACTTCCCTGAATGATATATTCCTTGTGTCTATCGAGTATCTATCTTATATTGTGTATTATTGTTTTCTCTAGCGAAATAAACACATCAAAGGAGTAGAAAGTGACATCGAGAAGATCGTCAAGTATTATCTGCTGGATCATCGACGCATCTTCGTCAAGTACAAGGACATTAACCCGATTCGCGCCCTGCCAGGCGAAGGAACAGGAGTTATGAGGTTCGCATTGCTAGAGATCAATAGATGGGGCATCTACCAGGCACATAAGATGATGCAGATTAAGAACGCGTGGTACACGTTGCTTGAGAGGAGTAGAAAACGCGAAGATGAGATGCCTGAAGATCCTGACTTACCACCACCTATAGTAAGACCTGATACTGCGGATAGTGACGACGTGAAAGATGATAGCGATGATGATGATGACGACGACGATGATGATGATGACGACGACGATGATGATGATGACGACGACGATGATGA